CCCTGTCCAGCACGAAGCCATAAAATATGCCTTTACCAACACTAATTAGCTCCAGAGAAATTCCTTTTGGCCAAAAAGTGAACATGGGTTTCTCTGTACGTTTTATACAGCAACCTACATGCATGTGCATGTGTTTTTAGTTGGCTGGAAGTGCACACAGAAGCAATTACATAAAGCTACATAAAGAAGAAGGCATACAAACAGTGTCAAGGACAGGCTGCACGCACTGAAGAACAACTGGCCTTTAACACATACTTTGAAGGATAGTTTTTTTTTCTTTTTTGCATATAAAAAGCCTCCTTAAACACTGTTGAGGACGCTGCTGCTGGTGTGAGATTCAGACAGCGACGAATGAATCAATCAGTTTACAGCAACTTACAACGACAAACAAAGTGTCCTCGGGAAAAAAAAACATGTGCATGTGTGAGTGTGTGCTTGTGAAAGTAACAAGCAATGAGAAATGAAGCGGAGACATGGGGATTGCTGTGTTTTCGGTTCAGAGCAAGTATGTGCGTAAATGTGGGCCTATCTACGTGTGTATGTGAGAAGAGAGGTGGGGAGTGGAAAAACATACAAAAGAACTTGAGAACGTGTTGAAATGTTTTATGTCTGGGAGAACAGCAGGTTTAAACCTCCAGAGGTGAGGGCCAGAGCAGGAGATTGGAGACTAAACACCACGCAGCAGTGCTGGGACCATGTGAGAACTAACTAATTAAAACTTGGAGGCGAGCGTTGATAATCAATGTGGAGGGTTAAGGAGGCTGGGCAGGGACATTTACTGTCAGGTGGTCCTGTGCGAGTAAAAGATTGGAAACTGGATCAGACCTGATGGTGGAGGTTGAGGGGACTTGCTGGACTCTGAAAAGATTAAGTTTCTCTGCACAGCTGCTTTGGCCTGCAGACAGAGGGAAACATCTGTATTAACCTCAGCACCACAAGCAGCCCACTGTGGAGAGGAATGCAAGAGGCAACAGAGAGAAGGGTGGGGAGAAAATTAATGTGAGATATGAGTATGTTTTTAAGGAAATATATATTGGAGTTTTTCACTCAAAAAGTCATAAGAGGACTACTATCAGATATAAAAAAGAGCAGTGTGTTTTTAGTGTGACAACAGCGAAACACTACAGATTCCAAGCCGGCAGTGACAGTTCTGACTGAAAGCCAAAGCCTCTAATATATCCAAACTAATTTTCCAGTTTGACATTTCTTTCCTTGTATTCTATTAAACCTTAGAACGAGGCAAAAAAGTAACTGGATATGTGTAGGTGTAGACAAAATGGCCAAGAATGATGATGAGCTAGGTGGTGCCCCGTCAGGTCACCTAGGTAACACAGAAGAAAATTACCTGCTAGTGCGCTGACTCACTCAGCACACCGACTCTGTGCAACACACCTCCCCTCCCTGATCACAGCCTTCATTTACCAGCATAAAATCACAACTTTAACAACACCCAAGTTCAATAAGAAATTGTGCAACATCATAACTGTGTTTGTGTGAGACAGTCATAACCTAAAATTTGAATCCTGCAGAATGAGGGGAAGAAATCAGAAGAACTTTGTTTGTTTACAGCTTTTTAACCTGGGAAATGAATCACATCTGGTGCAGATTAGCGGAAGCTGAACTCTGAACAATTAAATGCTCCCTGGTAGCACATGTTTTCCAGAGGTTTGATATTTGTAACTTTATAGTAGTTCTGCGTATCAAAGCATACTTTGAAAGTTTACTTACATTATTATCACTCCATGGCCAGACGGTCATCAGTTTGGGGTTAAGTTAGAAAAAAAAGCTTTAAATAAAGTTTACAGTCTGCTCTGAAACAAATAAACACACTGAAAGGTTAAGCTCCTCAGCATGATACCAAAACATTTTTTTCCATTTTTATGATACTGATGAAATGCCAATCACAATTTGTTAAATGAATGTGAGTTCACTTACAAAACATCAAATCTATCCTAAAAGTGACATGGCAGTTTTATTTCTATCACAAATAGAGAGCAAAACTTCTCTTAACTCCAAAATGCTAATCTCTGATTTATAAAAACTGAACTGTCACAGTAATGTGACACAGCTCAGTTATGAGAATCTTGTTGTACAGAGGAAAAGTTTAAACTCTACTAAGTTTCCCTTTTAAATGAATGTTTACAGCTTTGACTTTTAAAAAAGGGACAAATCTGGTAGTGCTGCTCACTTCATATTGCCTGAAAATCGGGTAAAAATGAACAAACGCATCCATTAACTGGCCCCGATAGCTAGTATTACAAAGTATCAGTACAGACAAAGTCTGATAAGCTTTCATTTGTGTCATTTCAAAACTGCAAAAATATATCAGTGAGCCACATGCTGTTCCTTCATTATTGTGAATGTATTTCAGGAAATGATCGAGAGGTGAAAAATACAAAAAAATGTATCTGTGGCAACCAGGGACCATGTGGATAGATGGCACTGACAGACTGGGAAGACTTTAGACAGTATTAAGGAACAGACTAGGCCATAGGATTTGTAAACAAGAGAGTAATATCTGGCCATTAATTTAATAAGACAGAAAAGATGTCATCCCATTTAACTGCAGCTTTATGGAAAAATTGTCACACTTATCTCAGAATCTTATCTGGCTTTACTAACCCATGCAGGTTTGCATGAGAACAGAGAAAACAAGGAAGCCGTGACTAACACACCACACGATAACATCTTACAATTAAAGACTTGATACTCCCTCCCACTCATGCACACACGCACACGCACGCACATACAGACAAAAGCACAGGTGACAATGTTGCTTTTTTCTTCCAGTCATCCAGGATGCAAATAGTAGAAGTCCAAGTCAGAGCAGTTTCCTGTCGCTGGAGATGTGTAAACGACCACTTTAGGCTGGACTTCATAAGTATTTGTGTGTTTTGTTGGATGACTGGATGATGATGCCAAAAATCTACGGCAGGACAGTTTGGTATAACTGCACGGGCTAAAAGCACTGGAAGCTGTGGTTTGTGAAGGAGGAAATGCTTTAATTGACAGTGGCTGAGGGGCTAATACCACCAGAGACCAAATGCATCACAGTAACTCATCATTAAACACACTCAGATATTATTATGTCGTATGGCCACCTTCTGAGACTTGTGTGCTGCATTAATTTGCTGGCGTGCTATCATGGCATGTCGGACACACACCCAGTGCTTGGTTGACCTGTGTTGCATGCAATGGTGTACATTCTGAACAAATGCTGTCAGCCATTTACACAGCTGGCCTTTTAAACTGCTGTGACTCAGTGAAAGGACGTCCCTGGCCTGGGGTCTGTCCCAAAAACCCACACCCAACCTGACTAGCTGCATTGGACGCAAAACAAGCTAACAGAGCTGTGCATCCATTCCCTTGGGGTCAGTTAGTAAAGGAGAGAAAGAGCCGGTCAAGTGGGGGTTTTTTGTTTTTTTTCTCATATTCAGGTTCCTTGGTTCCGTAGTTATGGCGACATGCAATGTTTAGAAGGCCAGTTCTTAAATAAAAGCCACACTCATTTTGCTCCCAGACAGCCTAAATAAGAAAACAAAAACCACAATGAGCAAAAGTAGGAAGGAAGGAATTTGGACAGGAAACAGTCAATGCATTTGATTGCCATCACTTTCATCATTCTGTGTCCCTCTTTCTCTCGTGTGAAACCAGCCTATTATCTGCCTTTTTTAATCAAGCTGCTTGGATGATTGTTTGATGGTATCTAACAGGTCACAGGAACAAACCCAGCAATGATGCTCAGTTGCTTTTGCAACACGTGGCAGAATGCAGTGACCAATGTCCACTTTGTATCCTAATGAGGGACATTTTTGTTCCTCATTAGGATACAAGGAAGGCTGAACATGCACCCTTAAAAAGGTCCAATTTGAGCAAAAGCCATTCATTAAATGAACCGCAAGTTATGAAGACAACATTGTGACTTCATTCCAAGAGCCTTAAATATAAAAAATAACAATGTTCTTCCTGGCTGATGTAACCAATTTTGCCAAAGACCCAAATAACCCATTTAATCTGCTGTCTTCTCACACAGAAGGGACCCTCTACCTTCTCTTCCTAGTTCAGTCTTGGCTCTTCCCTTTGCAAGTCTCTGTGGTTGAATCCATCTCTGTTATAGCCTGTTGAAAATAGTCACAATGCAGCAGCTCCCACAGTAATTACACAGTGCAGCGGAGGAACCAGTGTCACCTCCCTCTCTCTTGCCAAGACGCTACAACAATGATCTTTCCAGGATTTGATGCAAACTTCCAAGTGCAAGCAGAAATTTACAAAAATACAGCAACTGTTCCTGCTTGGAATATTATTATTATTTTTTTCCCATTGATGAATTAATAGATTGCAGGTCTTCAATGGGACATAAGGTCAATGGCTATTATCCCTACAAGATTTATTAAGAACATTTAGGTTTAATGAGGCATATAGGCCTGCAAATGTTCTTATTTAACTAATCAACAGCAAAAAACAACTTTCTCAACAAACTGGGGCAAAATGCATCCTTCAACATCATGACTAACTTTGCAAGCAACTGAATCTGATTAAATTGAGCTGGGTTGTGCATTGAGTGGCTTTATTTTGTGGTCTATGTGTTTACAGGGATGTCTCCAGATTAGAGTGAAGGGAGAACCCGGTGCACTTTGATCCCTCTCTGCTATTGACTTACTCATTCTTGAGATAACACATGGCTGACGCATTAGCTGCTGGCTGGACCTTCATCCACTGCTGAATACCTGCACAATACTTAGTTGCACAGCTGTTGAACAAAAGGACACACTGGAATTTGACACTCCTGGAATTAACTGAAATAAGCAGTATGCCAGCATGCTTATTGTGTTTGTCTTCTGTTCATGCACACAGGATGTGTGGGGAAAAAAAACACGACTTGCCCCGTAGGGTGAAATTACATTTTACTACAATTACTTGGTTCTGTAATGTGTTAATTCCATAAGATATTATACAATAATATATTAAATTCACATGTTTAAAAAAAATGAAGAGCCTACCCAAATTTACGAAGCTCATGACCATGTCTGCATCGTTTAAGAAGTTGTTGTCTTGCAAGCTGGCGATCGGCGGACCCTGTGTGGTGAATACGGGCTTGTAAGGGTAGGAGTATCTGTCCTCGTCTCCCTCTGTGGACATGGCGTTATACAAGTCCAACATGAACATCGGGGCAGCATTATGCTTTCCGTGAAGGTTGGGTCGCGGCCGGTGCGGCAACCCCAAGATCGACAGGATCTCCCGCTGCATCTCTCTGCGCTCCTGGCTCTTCAATCGACGGTGGATGAAACTGGAGTGGAACTCATTGTCCAGTGTAAAGTTCGTGAAAGCTGTATCCGCCAGGACGCAGTAGCTCCAGAAAAACAAGATTAAACCAGGCGCACGCTTATCCAGAATCGGTGCCATGACGGTCACCGTGCGTAATTGCGCCCCGATCCGCTCACCAAAACTCTGGGGAAAAAAATTATACTGAACTTTTAGCAACAGGTAGCTTGTGTTCAATATCCTAAATCAGTCGCCAACCCTCGCATTGAGGGAAGTGCTCCCAAATGAAACATCAACTTAACTTCAAAGTCCTTTTTATTGATTGCTTTTCTGGGCGAATTGTGGTCGCGTGGACCTCGGTCCTCATACAAAACCCTGTGTCCAAAAGCTACCAACCACGGTGCAGCCTGTAACTGCATAGGGGAGGCTGCGAGCCGACGCATTTCACTGAACAAGTTGTGAGGAGGCGCTGAGAGCTGGGAGGAGCAGGAGAGCGAGACAGAAAGAATCTGAGTTACTGGTTGGAGAGAGGCTCCAGGCTACATGTGCAAATACAAAGTTTGATATGATGATAGATATGATGATAAAGCACCTTTCTTTCTTACACACTTTTTATGACTGCATGCCCGTGCAGATTAAGTTGTGATAGAGGAAGATGGAAGCAATAGGCTCCTAAGTCTGTGTTGCTGGAAAACACACTTCATATTAGCTATTTGTGATTGCCAGTTAATACTCCAATATACTGGGAGATGTTGTAACAAGCAGTTGCAAGACCACCATTGTAATACTGATCCGCAAGTGCACTCCCTGAAATGCAGGTGTGAGATTTGAAACTGTTGTCCTAATGATGTCACAAAGGTAGCAGTACATACCCCTATTGTCGTTTCTGCATGTATGGAGCCCAGGATGTTTGTCATCTTTTGCTTTTGCAGGAAGTTAATGACAAAGGCAGTGGTGCACAGAGCAAGTACAGACTGCAAAGAATGGGTGCAGATGTTTGGCAGATGCTTCAACTTCCCATCTGCCCCCCTGGCACCAGCACCTCTTAAACACCACACTTTAATGGAACGCCTCTGATCCCCTTGCCCTGACACAAGAGGAGGGATTTCAGATGGCCCGAGAATGACTGCTTTATCTAGACAGAAGTAACTGCTCAGAGAGTGGAGCTTTAAAGGCTTTGTGGTCGAGATGCTTTCAGGCTGCAGTTTGCCAGGTGATTTTTATGACAGTAAAATTAGACTTCAATAGCACAGCAAGAGAGGCTGCCAGTAGGCTTAAACTATGATTGCAAACAGAAGAAAGGAGTAAAAGAGGCAGTGCGTGTCTCGGGGTCTTCTACACTTAGCCCACCTTCCTGCCTATTTAATGTGGTTGTTCTTGTCTTCAAAGGCCTGTCACTCCTTTTTTCCCCAATGATACTTTGACGTGGCCTAAAGCAAGAGAGCTTACATACTGTATGCTGCCACTACCTGTTTTGTATATCAAATCCTTAATTTAGTTTTAACAGGGCTTTTAGTAATAGCCTTTACCATATAAACATCTCTATCCGGTGCTCAGATAGAATGGCTGTGGGCGTTTACATTACAGCAGTTTCTGACAGCAAACTTGAAAGGGCCAAACTGACAACTACACCTTTTCCTGTCTATCTCACTTTCTCTCTATTTCCACTTTCTTACCTCCCTGATGTGAGATTGGTGCAGTTGAATAGCCCTGAGCTCGGTTTGTGCCCATGGAGCAGAGGACAATCTGGGACAGGACAAAAGGAACAGACCCCCCTTTGTTTAAGATCTTCATGGGCCTGGTGACTGTCGCAGTAAACAGTGGGCACAAGCTGAGGCCAGCCTCAGTGAGCTGCTTTGACGAGCCTTTGACAAGAAAAACTAATAGAGAAAAGCACAGTTGTGTTTCAAAGACCTGTCATCAGCGCATAAAGACTCAAGCTGCTAAAAATGATATCGATCATATTTCTAACCCGGTCCAAATAATACTAAAAAGATCACACACGCACACACATATGCATATTATATACAACATATGTTTATGGGTATTTGCTTCCAGTTGTTCTGTGTCTGTGCAGTTTTTGTTTAGTTCAAAACACATTCAACATTTGGCCTGAAGCATTTTGGCTTCACACTGTTCACTATGATCTAAGTCCTTGTGAGCAAATACGCCCCTCTCCACCAAACTCCAACAGGTTTGAGCATGACATAAAGCTCTACAGAAGACCACACAGCCAACACTAACATCACTGGAAACTCTTTCACTCCCCTGTAACGCTGTCATCTGCTCATCATATTGTTCACTTTTTTTAGTATTATTTGTTGTGAGTCAGTGCTCTTCCTGTCTGCTTGGTTAACTCTATTTAAGAGCTCAAAGCATGTGGTCAGAGGTCAGAGTAATATTTATTTCATGTGTTGCCCCTTAGAGCAGCAGTTCTTTGAAGACATATGGATGCAGGGTGGAGGATGAGATTTCATGGAGGGTTCTTCAGTGTACGGTTGGGGTGCAAGGACACAAAAAGGTTGAGGTACTGTTTTTTATTTGCACCCCTTCCCAGGCCGCCTGTCCTGCCCTCCCTTGTCTAAATTTTTGTCGTAAGCCCATGTGTGCAGTGCACAAACTGACGGCCTGTTAAAGCAGCCTAACCAGGTGGAGCGGAGCTATTGCAAATGTTCTCCTTCTGGTGTCTCACACATCCAGGGGCCTCATGAACATATGAGACACAGCTGTGAGACAGGCAGAAGAAAAGTGAGGGGGTGGATATAAGAAGCAGCTTTGAAATAGTTCACTTTGAGGAGCCCTTTTTAGGTTTTGGGTTTGATTACATATTTAAAAATCTGGATCCAGTTTGAGAATATGATTTCCTTCTTTTGTCTTTTTCGCATGTCTTTAAGTGATAAAAAACATCGCTATCAAAGGTTAAAGGAGATCTTAATTATCAGTTAGGAATTGTCATGGCAACAGAGTTTCATTGCATCTAAAAAAAAAATCACAGTTAAAATGTTCTAGCAAAAACAAACAAACGAAAAAAACCCTCAAGATTGTCTCATATGAAATATTGCACCTTGCAGGTCTCTTTGCTATCACTCACTACCTACTTTCCCTTGTATGAGGTATGTCCTGTCAGCCGTGTGTTTGTCTGCAACCGGATACTGCACTTGGGAACACCAGAGTAGCTTGGATCTGATTTATAGCCCTCAGCGGTTCAGCCAGACCCGTCAGTTATAGTTGGTGTTACTGACAGTCAGAGATACAATTTTAGTTAAGCTTTTCATAATGCCCAGCTTAGTAGCGCTTATCCATTGCAGGATGTTATTACTCAGGCACTCTGTCATTGGTGTCATCAGCACAGGGTCCTGGTTTGACACTGAGCTGGTCTCCTGGTCTCCTAGCCACATACTTATCAGCATCCATTACTGAGGTGTGTGGGCCTGATAAAACTCTGGCCAGTTTCAGGAAGCTCTAAGCAAAAGTCCCATTAAGATTCCAGCGTGTGTGGTAAGAGGCCTTGGCCCTTTGACTCTTTGCTCTCATCACCCCATAAGGCTATACTTCTCTGTCAATCAAAGGCGACATTTGGTAGTCACTTTTCTCTCTGGGAAACTGGACTGACGGGCTAGCAGCACTGCCAGACTGGCATTGGCCAAAAGCTGATGAAAAACAGAGAACTGGGAGAGCCTGATGTAGAGAGTGTGTTTGGGGATGGGGGGAAGAGGAGCAGGAGGTGGATGTGCTGAACTATGTGGATTGTGAAGGGGGGGCAGCTCTGTTTTCTATTTGTGAGGATTAGGTTGACAGATCTGTATTTAGTTTCTTTGGGCCTCTAGCTGCAGCTAATCCCCCTCACCTGCAGTGGGTGTGCTCCCCCCCACCCCACCTACTTTTTTTTTCCTTTGACCCTGCAGCCCCCTACTTCCCCTGTGCCCCCCCCTCCTGCCCAGCACAAACACTCATCCTGAGACAAGCACATGACTCGTTGCACTCTGTCTCCTCAGGTTAGGGCCTCGCACTCGACGCAAATCTCTCTCAGGCCAAAGGAACAGCAGGGGGCCCAGCCTTTCTGGAACAGAAGAAAAAGGACCCCGGCAACCTGTGGTCCTCCACATATTAAGATTGTTTTCAGCTTGAGTGAGGGGTTGCTCTTCATCACTGAAAGATAGCAATTACTCAGAAATTAAGAGCCATTACAACGGAAGCAGCCTGTCAAAGCCAGTCAGGGGAAATGGGGACCTTTGGTAAAGCTGCACATTAGGAAATATTCAGGGTCAGGTCAGGGGCATGGACCTCTTCTCTTTAGATCCTGGCTCACACACACTCCGAGCAGGCCTTCACACTGTGAAAGAAAGACCACAGTGCCTCTGCAAACACACACAGCATGCCTGCTAGCAACTCCAAAAGGTGGGGACTTTGGATGACCTAATAGTTATAGAATCTCAATACATTTCCCTCATTTAACAATGAAGCGAAATGACTGAGACATGAAGCAACAAAGAAACATTAACAGGTTTTGAAAGATTGTTAATGGAGGCACATGTTCAAATTCCTCAGGACGTCACACATTTCTTCAAGGGCCAGAAATGAAAACTGTAACAAATAGTCTATAAATGTCTGATTCAGTCAACTAAACAGCTATGAAAAGAATGAGCAACATTATGGCCTCTACAAAGCCCGAAAACACATGTTGGCCTGCGTTATCATTACACACATCCATCACCAAAATTATACTTAAAAAGCATTTCCACATGACGAACAGAAACAATAGAAGTTCATCATCTCACAGACTCTAACCACAGCTGATTAAACCCCCACCCACCCATTTGAAACCACAACAAACACACAACAGAAACATACACATACAGTAGACACACCTTTAGACAAGTAGCAGCAAGTTCAGTTTTCAGGCTTGATTACTAAAGGCCACAGAGGGACCTAATGGGGATTTCTCTTCACACTATCTGCACAAGCTTTCTACTTTCTACCAGCCAGATGCTAATCCGCCCACACACTTTCTGTCGTTTTTACTTTGGACACGGCTTGTAGTAAATTACAAACTTCTTCAATGAATACCGCTTCTTTCAAGGACTACTTTACACAGGAACTAATGGGACTTAATATTATTCTGCAAGGGTTTATTTAGGGATATTGTTATGTCTTATATGGACGATATGTATGTGTTGCCATTTATAGCTCGTGAAATACCCGTGAGATATGAAAAGGTAAAATAAGTAATTAAAAATGTTGTACTTTGCAAGTGGCACAGGTCTGCATGGACTTCTGTTATATGAATACTGGGAACATAACATTCAGACATGGTTATAATTTGTTGAACTTTATATACAATAGTATTAAGAGTGCAAAAATGTGGCATGTTTTTATTTATGTATTCTTAACAGTCAGGTGGTTTGAATGGACACACAAATCTGAGGCGGCCTCGTTTAAACACGCGAGATTTCCACCGACGCGTGCGCGGGAAAATCGTCCAGGTAAACGCTACACCTCCTAACAAAAGACGCAATGATGGGATCCAGTGCGGAACATCTGTTTTCTGAAATTGACAAGTTTCGCGCTCAGCTGTTAAGCAGCGTCAAGGTCATGACAGAAAGCCAATGTGCTGAGAAAGACATCAGTCAGTAAGTAAAAAAATCTGTTTCCCCTCCGAAGGCTTCCGTCAAACTTTGCTAGCTTAGTGTGACCCAAGACCGGCAGGCGTCATCGTGTTAATTAGGTTGTTAGATCATTTTAGCCCAACTCCACATTGATTCATGGCAACAAATTAGCAAAAATGTATATTCAAATATTGTAAAAAAACAAACAAACAAACAATGAAACCAACTATTCTATAGTATGAACAGAAGAGATGTGTTTAAATGTGCTAAAGGAGATAAATGGATTGAGTCGTTTGTTTGAGTCGTTCGTTTCTCCGAGAGTAAGATTCTCGCTGTTTTCCGTTCCAGCGGTGAAATTCTGAGCCGTATGGAAAGTGTAATCCTGGCCATGGTGACCTCTCTATCCAGAGATGAAGCTCCCGTCCTGATGCTGCCCAACAGATCCGGCTGGGCCAACGTCAGGTAAGGACTCTGTCTCATGACTACATGAAAAGCTCAGTTTTTTCTTTTCCTTGCCCAAAGCATTGTGGCCATTTGTCACAAAAGTTGTGTGGGATCTTTATTTCAGCTTCCTGGCCTCTTGATCTTGTTTGAATTCTTTTTTTCTCATTAAGTTTTGACTGTGACATCGGCCTTCAGATGAGTTCAGGACATTCTGTCACCACCGTCAGGAGCGACTGTCCTACATCTGCCACTAAATTCGGTGAGAAGATGCTTATACCCTTTTTAAGTGTGCATCTGACTTCACATTAATCTTTTCCTCTTCTTTTGAGTTAAAAAATCTCTCCAGCTGCACACTTCCTCACGTGGTTCTTATTTGTCTTGGTTATGAACGCGTGCATGAGCCGAAAAAACTGCGGTGAGCTAACAGAGACGGATGATGTTGAAAAAGGCCGTTAAAGATCGATGCACAGCATGGACAACAGCAGACAACTTCTATTGAATGGATACATAAACACCTTTTCATTTATTTTCTCCTGTTTTCAAGGACAAATACTCAAGATTCTGTCAGTCATGTACAGACTGGTGCAGAGCAACTCCTACTCAACAAAAAGGTTATTTTCTGCCTGTGTCCTTTTTGAGTTTTGGTCAGCACTTTAACAGGTGTAAGGCTGAATTTCTCAATGTTCTCACCTCGGACAGAGACATTTTTTACAATGACACACAGCTGTTTGGCTCGCAGAGAACTGTGGACATCATTGTGGACGACATCTCGTGCATGTTGAAGATCCCTCGCAGATCCCTCCACGTGGTAGGCGTGCACACCCATGTTAATCTGTGAGACTGTTTACGAAATTGTGTGCCAAAAAAAAAGGAAAAAAAGGCAAACCTCAAAAATGTAAAAGCTTGTAGCAAAATTCCACCGCGTATGACCTCAGAACCTACATGTGAAATCCGTTAGTTAAGTCTGGCAGTTTGCTTTTTGCTGTGCTTCGTATCTCAGGAAGCAGCTGTGGAGTAAACCTGCTTCTCCTGATCAAATAGAAATGGAGCTGATGTGGAATTCAAATGGCCAGTGCTTGAAACTTGCATGCATAACCATGTGATTCGATTTTGTGTGTGCATTTGTGTGAATTTCTGTGCCGCTAGCTGGCCACATCCAAAGGCCTGATCTCAGGTGATCTTTGTTACTTGGAGGAAGACGGCACGAGGATCGACTGTCGCTCCAGCTCTGCCGTGAGTTCCAAAACCTGTCCGCTAAGTATTACATTATCTACAAGGTTGCTGGATTTAAAACAACAGTTTGGGTCCAATTTTTGAAAAAGTGTAACTGCAAGTTTTCAGGTTTAATCAGAATCAGAAATACTTTAATAATCCCAGAGGGAAATTATTTTCTTTATTTTCAGTATGTCACTAAATGTCACATTGCACACATTTTTGGGGAAGGGGCTTTGAAATATGGGGGGCTTTTGAAACCACCTGCTCATTCAGTCCAAGATTAATAAGCTCTAAAGGACTAAAAAAGTAAGTGAATCCCCTTTGGATGGAGCCTAACATGTGCTGCAGGTGTAGTAAAAGATATGTGAAGAGCTATTCAGCATGTTTGTATTTTCACTGGTGGCAGAGATTGGCCTGATTTCAAACAACCACCCTCCATCTTTTTACCCCATAGCTGTCATCGGCTTACCGTATACCATATATTTATCTACTTTATCTACTTATTTTTCTCATAATGGTCGTCATTATGAGGCCATGATTACCACCCTGACCCCCCCTCACAGAGCAGTCCACTAATGTTTTGCCTGTTCTGTTTTCAGGCTGTTTCAGTTTCATCAAACATCGAAGGGATCAGAAGTATCCCTTGTAATATCTTTAAATAACTTTTCTTTCTTGACAATCGTATGTACTTATAGCTTGTACATGTTTCTTTATAGTCAAAACTGCTGGCAGATCTGTCTTTGACCACTCAGATATTGTATCGTCCGCTAAATTTGTCCTGATAGTCGAGAAGGATGCAACGTTCCAGAAACTGCTGGATGATGACTTCTGCACCAAGCTCTCCCCTTGCATCATGATCACAGTTTGTTGATTTTTAAACCTAAAATGATCTTGGTTCTGTTTCCACTGAGAAAAAGCAGCTATGCATGTGACCCATGTGTTTGCGTGAGTCAGGGTAAAGGGGTGCCAGATGTGAACAGCAGGTTGATGGTGAGGAAACTCTGGGACGTGCTGCACATCCCCATCTTCGCCTTGGTGGACGCTGATCCTCATGGTACCAATCATTTTACTGCCAAACACATACACACCCAAAATAAAAAAAAAAATAAAAATAAAAAATATATATATATATACGAGAGGGAGAGAGAGAGAGAGAGAGAGAGCTAAGTTTAATTTCCCACAGAGCCTGCACATATTAGCACCTGTCCTATACGTCATGGTGCCTCGCGTGGCTTTTATTCCCAATGGCGTGAGCCTCCCAGACGGGATGGCTCTGTTTCCATCAGTCGCGATACCTCAAACCTTTTTTTTCTTTCTTTTTTTCTCCCTGTCATTGCATGGCGAGACACATATGTAATGCTTTACTTTGTTCCGAGCTCTGTAACACATCTCAGAGGATAATTGCTCTGGTATGTTGGTGATTGTAGCGTGTCTGTGTCTCTCCTTCTGAATTTTCTCAGGCATTGAGATCATGTGCATCTACAAGTATGGATCAGTGGTGAGTCCTTGCCATGCTGACATTATCCAGTGTGGCCTGTTCAGCATCTGTTTGTTAGCAATATGTAATTAAGATTTCCCCCTTTTTTTTTCTTTTTCTTTTTTTAAAGTTCAAAAACAGCCAATAGCGCATCTTGGTATATTTAAACCAAGATTGTATGAGGTGAAAATGTGGCAGCATGACTCCTGATCTGGTGGATGTTTGTGTATCCACCCCTGTCTTAATTGTCCTCATTGTGAACATATGCTGAGGCTGCCCACATACTGAAGGTGCAGTACTGATTATCTGTCTGTTTATTGGAGACTGTGTGAAAGCTTTTTGTGCGGCTGGGTGTGTATGTGGCTTTTTCCACAGGCGATGTCATTTGAGGCCCACAGTCTGACTGTCCCCAGCGTTATGTGGCTAGGCCTCCTCCCCTCTGACCTGCAGAGGTTTGGACTCAAAATCCACTACTTCCTACTTCCTCCTCCTGCCTCTAATTGGGATTATATTCTGGGGACGTTTAGGATGTTTGTTTTGGTTTCTGTTGCTGTTGCTTTTTTTTTTCTTTCAACGCATGACATTTAAGAACATATGGACTTTTAAGTATACATTCACCTAAATAAATCTAGGCAAAACATCTTTTTGACATCCATTTAATGGTAATCTGAGCCACTCTTCTCCCTAAACTTGTGTTTTGGGAGAAAAATTCGGAAGAAGCATCTTACAAGAACCAGCCTTCAGCAGAGGGAAAGCTAGCTCCTTAGTTGTTAGATGGTTAAATGTATAATGAATTCAGAACTGTGCTCTCTTAGGTTGAGGGTTCCCAGAGACTCCCTGATTCCTCTCAACAAGACAGATGAGAGCAAACTCAGCAGCCTCCTAAACCGGCCATACTTAGCCGAACAGCCAGACTGGAAGAAAGAGGTGAGTGAAGTGGAAGCATAGACTTAAACAGTAAAAGCAAAGGATAAAAAATGTGTGGTTTCAAGCAGCTTTTCATTTTCTTATTCGGTCTGGATTTCTGAAGTGAGTGATCAGCACCGTGTGCATTTGTTCCCCGAATGCACACAAACCCTTTAGAGTACATTCTGAAGAGTGAAATAAACCAAATAAAAAGATAATGAGGTGGGCCCTATGCACAGGTCAGCCCTAACACATCTCACTGGGCTCCCTCCCGGTGACTTTGAAGACGATGGTCTTTTTTGGTGTTATTGCCCTTTGAGTCACATGTTTGGAGGAGTGACTATTGAACTCTTGACTTGTTTTAAGCATTTTTGCATAACTCACAAATGCACTCACTTCCAAGTGGTGTGTTTGCTTTTGTAGATGGAGCTGATGCAGCAGAGTAAGGTTAAGGCTGAAATCCAGTCCCTGGCAGCCATAGCGCCTGACTTCCTCACCACCATCTACCTGCCCAATAAGCTGCGCTACGGAGGCTGGATATGAGCTCCACGCTGCCTCTCAGTGGGACAAGGAGTGAACTGCTGAAGGTGGTTTCAAAACGGTTAAAGGAAAAAAATGGTCTGTAAGACGTTACATCATTGGATAGACAGGGCAATGAAGGTCAGAGCTGAAACACGAATGTAGAATACGTATAAATATGTCTACCATTGTGTATGTACTGCTTGTAACTGTCCCGTAAAAATCTGTTTAAATTAAAACCCTTGTGATGCAACAGGGAAGTCAAGGCAGCTGTTTATCTTCACATCATCTTTGGCTTTGCTTTCGGGTCAGAAAACACACAACCAATGCTGAGTAATTCAGGAGTCACACTGGTACACACTGATGTTTAATTGTTGTACATGTTGAGTATTCAATTGGAGGACGAATACTGTCATGAGCTCTGCTAGATCTTTCATTCCTGGTTTTTATTGTTAAAACATACCAGGGTTAAAGCATGTAAAGTTCCTTTTTTTTGTCTTGTGTATCACTATGATGATGTTTGAAAATCGATTGTTTTGGAGTAAAGACAAATGTCATGTTATGGGGAGCAGCATTAAATGCACTCAGTGGGATTGCTCCTGTAATTAGGTGGAATGGTGGTTGAGACATTGAGAAAAGTTTGTGATGTGTTCAAATGCACCGTGAATCATACGAGGCTGAATCACATAAGGCAGAATCACAGGTGACTTAAAGCAGCTTATGTAAAATGGAAAACCAGCAGGTTACATTGCTTGAACATTCTACATTACCCATAGGAGTGAATGTGAGCGTGCGTTGTTGTTTGTGTGGCCCTGCGATGGTCCAGGGTTGTACCCCGCCTCTCCCCCACTGACCACTGGGATACGCTCCAGTCCCCCCGCCACCCTATTTAGGAATAAGCGGTTACGAAAATGGATTGTTGCTAGCCACGAGCGACATCTGCTGGTAGTGTTGGAGCAGAGAGTAGTATAGGAAGCGTGAAGTGATGTTTAAAATTGGTGCAAAAAAATGACAGTCAAATTAAACCGCAGCAAACCTCCAACGAATCCAAGATTGCGAACCTAAGGTGCCAAGTCGCGTTCTTTTAAGCGCACATTGCTGTTACAAGCCACACGCCATTTGTTAATGTCTCCAGTTTCATCGGACATCACCCATCTCATGGCCATACATCCGCCACACGCACGACAAGTAATTGCAGTTACTGCGACCCACAGTGCCAATACGCGTATATTTGAGTCGGAGGCATTCCGCACCAACATGGCAACCCGCGCTGACGCAGCGGCGCCGGTCACGTGGGGCTGCTTTCGTAACCCACCACCGCTATGTAACTGTAATTTCTCCAACTAGTTTCCTTAACGTGAAGGAGACTCTTTTCACCGAAACCCGAAGAGGAACCAGGTAGGTCCATTAAGGTCTTAAATTATATTTTTTTTCTGTGAAGATGGTTTGTTTTCCAATAAATGCATTATTGTGTAAGTGGTAAATAACAATATTGTTATTGATGACTAATTATGACACTAACCAGCTGGGGGACTCATACTGATTACAACACTGGTTTTGAATCAGGCTGTGTACGATTTTTATTTCTCTCAAAGTTGTTATAGTTTATATTATCAGACAGAAGGTTACGTGATGCTGTGCAAAAAATAATGTTTTGTGTCTGGGTCTTCAGAAAAAAATAAGCAGCTCAACACAATGAATACAACGAAAAAGTTACATCTATTGCAGATTTGTGTTGTTTTTGAGCCACTAACATTCTAGATGTGCTGCAATCACACTACAAGTGTGATCCATAGCTTACTGCCTAGAAATGATTTAAGCATCATCTTATAGTAATGATGATTACCCATAGAAAAAAAAAACAGGATGTTATTCTAATGGCTTGAGAGCCACACCTTGTTTCCAGACATATGGAAAGGTTAAACTGACAGTGTCGCCGTTATGTATCTGTTTCATGTGAGAATCAAAGCCAGACAGCTTTCATTTGAGCTTGTTAAGCAACACAGATCCTTGAGAGGTCCTTTTCATTTTGTCAATGCCAGCTGACTAAAGACTGAAGATGGAAAGAATGGATATAGTCCACCAGGGTATTCACATGATGGCTCGCCTCCTTTTCAAGGCAGTCATTTGTTATGAGGACTGCTTGGGCTGGGATGTGCTTATATAAAAAGATGAAAACCAGAGATAGATGTGGACAGTTTGGGTGTTGTGGTGCTATTTATCCACTTTGCTCAAATTTAGTTTCTCTCACACTTTGATTTTATTTGTTGCATAATGTTAGATTAAATTATTCTAAGGAAAACATTATGTTGGTGTGTGACCTTTATAGACATCTCGTGTGTACTCTTATCTTGCTAGCCTCACCGCTTCCAATTTTTTTCCCGCCTCAAATAGGACAAGACAATCTCATATGGATACAGTGATCCGCAGGTGCCCTTTTTTGAGCGTTGCACCCAGTGTTTTCCTCCACCTGCCGGGGAGGTCAACTCTGGCAAAATATGCCTCAAGATGCCCTGTGATGATGGACCTGGCCTCCACACCACTGGCCAGAGTCCTGTCTACCTCGGCTTTTGTGTCCAAGGACACTCAAACGAAAGATGGTCAGTTGATTACTGACAACAATAAAAGTCAATGTATATGCAGGAAAAATAAGTTTGATACACTGCGAACCAAATGTAACTTACAATAATGTTCCTGTATCCTTCAGATCAAAAGCAAAAAGTCAAATGTACCCCAGGTCACACCACGCCACCCTCTGATCAGGCTGTTGGCTCCAAATGCCCTTTCCTGGCAGCAGAGATGGTGCAAAAAACCAACAGCGTGGTAAAGGAGGCTATGATGGAGCTGCAAGAGGATGTCCAGGAGATGCATTCTTACCGCACAGGTAAGAAAAGTCAAACCTGGCCTGGACGTTCAAAGGCGATTACGTAACTTAAGAAAAGTCACTATTTTGAGCACTATTTTGATACACTATTTCGGAGCATTTGAAGGGTGTTGAAAATGCATACATTTTTCTTGAACACACACATTTTTTTAATAGGGGCTTCCAAAAATCTCCTCAAGCCCACATCCTCTGACGCGTCTCAGCTGCTGAAGGCCAGCCTCCCAAAAGGCAAGTCTAATATTTTTTTAAAGATCCGCAATTCTCAAAAATTATTTGTTTGAAACTCTAAAAACCCTCTTCCTGTTTGTTTTTTTTCACAGCTGCCACATTTCAGTATGACAGATTTTTCGAACAGAAGATTGAGAGCAAGAAAACGGATCACACATACAGGGTTTTCAAGACGGTGAACCGGCGTGCCGCTTCCTTTCCCATGGCAGACAACTACTCGGAGTCTCTCCAAGTGAAGAGGGAGGTGTCGGTGTGGTGCAGCAATGATTACCTGGGCATGAGCCGCCACCCCAGAGTCACCCAGGCCATCCTGTCAGTAGGCCTACTCAATAACACTCATATGTAACTCTAGTTAGCATCATCAAACAGGACTTCACTGTTTTTTGACAATGCTTTCATGTCAGTAAACTATTTTCTCTTTTAGTGATACTGTGCGAAAGCATGGTGCTGGTGCAGGAGGAACACGCAACATTTCAGGGACAAGCAAATTCCATGTGGACCTTGAATATGAGCTGGCTGATCTGCATGACAAAGAAGCTGCACTGTTGTTCACTTCCTGCTTTGTTGCCAATGATTCCACTTTATTTACACTGGCTAAGATGCTTCCAGGTACTTGCCAATTGCGTCACCAATGTACAAATATTTAATTCAAAGATATTTTTTGTTGGGGCCAAAATGGTCACGTAACTGCTCGTACATTTTCTGATTTAGACAAAAAAAATGAAAGGACAAAATAATAGCACTGACATTTATCTTGTTTGGATTATTCTGTTAGGTTGTGAAATCTACTCTGACGCTGGGAACCATGCCTCAATGATTCAGGGAATACGGAACAGCGGAGTCAAGAAGTTTGTTTTCCGTCACAATGACGTCAGCCACCTCAGAGAGCTGCTTGAGAAGTCAGACCCATCCACTCCAAAGATCGTGGCATTTGAGACGGTACATTCGATGGACGGTAAGCGTAAATGTAACATTTCTGCCTCAGCCATCACGGAATAACTGGTGCAAAAAAACACAAATTCTGTCATTACGTTCAAATTCGAAAATGTTCTGATGAATGCTGAACCCTCAACAGGGGCCGTGTGCCCGCTTGAAGAGATGTGTGATGTAGCCCACAAGTATGGCGCCATCACGTTTGTGGACGAAGTGCATGCTGTGGGTCTGTATGGCCCCAGAGGAGGAGGCATTGGAGACAGAGACAGAGTCATGAACAAAATGGATATCATATCTGGCACCCTCGGTAAGTAAATGCCTCCCAAGATAAGAAAACCTTTCCTAACAGCCTGGTCTCCTAGGTGTGACCCATGACTGCCGTTTTCAGGGAAGGCCTTTGGCTGTGTGGGCGGCTACATCGCCAGCACCAGCGCCCTGGTGGACACGGTGCGCTCCTATGCTGCTGGCTTCATCTTCACCACTTCATTGCCCCCCATGCTGCTGGCAGGGGCCAAGGAATCCATTAAGATCCTGAAGGGCGAGGAGGGCCAGATGCTCAGGAGGAAACATCAGAGGAGTGTCAAACTGCTTCGGCAGTTGCTGATGGACGCCGGGCTTCCTGTGGTCCACTGCCCGAGCCACATCATCCCTGTCCGAGTAGGAAACCTAACATTAATTCATTTTAAAAGAAGGTTTTTTCCTTGCGACTCCTGAAAGGTGTCGTGCTTTTCATAATGGTTGTGTATATTGTACCCAATCTTTTGGTATGAGCTACATTTCAGATCCTTTGAGGCATCAAATTGATTAATGCATTGTATGCTTGGCAGGTGGCGGATGCTCTAAAGAACAATGAGATTTGTGACATCATGATGTCTCGATACAACATCTACGTCCAGGCCATCAACTACCCCACGGTAGCTAAAGGAGAGGAGCTGCTGCGTGTGGCGCCGTCACCTCACCACACTCCCCAGATGATGTACTACTTTGTGGGTATGTTTCAGTGTACACTGTAAGGATCACATCATTTCTAAATTCAGTCTTTACTGACAATTCATTCAATAGTGAGTCAGTTAATAGACGAAGATTGCATAAAGGCTAAGCTGATACTAAGCGTTTTCTGGTTCTGCTCTTTTGCTTATCCAGATCGGCTGATGAAGACGTGGAAGGAGGTCGGATTGGAGCTGAAGCCACACTCCTCAGCAGAGTGTAACTTCTGCCAGCAACCCCTTCACTTTGAGCTGATGAGCGAGAGAGAGAGGTCCTACTTCAAAGGCCTCAGTCACACGATCTCTGCAGTGGCCTAAAGATCCAAACAACAAATCACACTCATATTTATTCTAATTAATTTATTTGAACTATGTAAATATCCAGCATACAAAGGTTATGTATATGGAAAATACTGTTTTAAGATTTTTGCTAGAAGTAATTTATTGTTTGTTGTGCGTAATGTGTGAGTTCTCTAGAAGCACAGAGCCTAAACTTAATAGATCACATCACAGCCCTAATTACCTCCACAGAAGTTGTGTATTTGCTGTCACAAGTGAACATGATGATGACATCCTATCTGAGCAGCATTTCAGAAGACTTAAAATCAATCGTTCAATAAAAAGTATATATCAAAACACTACATTCATAGTCTCATTTGTAAAGATGTAGAACAATTACATTGTCACAACTTTTAAATGAAATCCTTCACACCAAGATTCACACGTATGTGTGAATCTTGGTGTGTGTGTGTGTGTGTGGCCTTTCCATAGGATTTTTCTCTTACAGAGCAGAAATGTTCAGGTTAGGTTAGGTTACCTCTCAATTGAAGAGGCGCCCCCCTGATTATCAAAAAGACACACACAAAAACACTGGTGGACAGAGTAAGGCTTCAGCAGCTGTTTGGTTTTGCTTTCTGCTTCAATGCAGAAGGGTTCTTTAGAACTGAAGCCAGGAGACACACTTGACATGATGACTTTTTGTTCCCTTTTTATTTTATTTTTAGTAAGTGTCATGTGGTTTGTGCAGTATTTCATATCACTGCTGGAAAATCCCTGTGTTGTCTTTTTTATCTTATTTTAAACCCTCTTGAGTCTGAGCCTCATCGAGTCTTTGGGGACATAGAACCCGCTTCGCACAGAATCTGAAGCCGTATTCCATTCTGAATACTCTCTTCACAGGCTACTTTTTAAATTACTGCTGTTGTAGCCAGAGATGCTGGACCTCTTCTGTTTTGTTCTGTTTTGGTTTCAGTTACAAGAAAGTCTGCTTCCATTATTCATTAGGTTTCATTTATGTCCTTTGGGGAAGTTTGATCTTTGTGTTTTTCTTCTATCTTATGCTCCAGAGCTACAACTGTGTCTTCCAAAGCTGTATTAAAGCTGTATTTCAAGCTCACTCATATGTTTGAGCAAACACAGTTCTTCATATGTAAAATCCAGAATTGACTGGCAGGTTTTGTTTACCGTTTGCAGTGAAGCAGTGGAAGAATCCAAAAATCCTCACATTAAGTGAACTTAGTGTGACCCCAAACTTCCTAACCGTTTCTAAACCAGAACATTTTCTGCAAACATTGTTCCCCATGTCTTCACTGTTTGAGTACATAGAGTGCTACCAGGATAGAGATTACATTTCTAATGGGTTATGACATGCTTTGGAATGTGCTTTTGGTTCCTTTTTTTTTATAAATATCAGTTTCAGGACATTCAGAGTAAAATATTACAAGCAGTTTTATCTTCACCTCATCATCTCATATCTGATTAGATTTTTTTTTTCAAATTTATCAATCATATCCATTTATTTAATTTAATCCTTTTGCTGTGTGAAGCACAAGAAAACCAAATATCATAATCCCAGTGTCGTCATCATGGTTTGCGGCAATACGGGTGTTTTTTTGTTTTGTTTTTTTAAAGAAAAGGGGTACTGAGGAGTGAGGAAAGTAGAAAGGGGAGTGTTGGAAAGTTGGAATGGTCGAACATCAACGGCTAAAAACCAGGTAACCAACTGCTTCCTCTGTTGAATTAACACACTGCAGATATACACAGGATCAGGAGCATCTGCTGAAAAATATAAATGTAGATAAAACTCAGCAAATCCCAAACATATGTTGGATGATTTGAACAAATTAGGTGCAAATTCCAATTCCATTCATAAAATGCATTTTATGGCATACCAGATTGAGCCACATGGAGGCGTACTGGGCTTTCCGTTTGCAGCTGTGAGCCTGTGACATCAGACACCTCCTCCACTGGTTGATGACTCATACCGAGTGCAGCAGCTTTTTATTTTATTAACCACTAGAGGGTATCAGGATATTGTGTTTCTTATCTAGATAATGTGGAGGGTTGCTTTGGTGGTATTAAAAACCAGCAGATACACTCATGTACCACACATTATACTACAGTGTTTCACAGATGCCAAATCAGATGTTCATCTGTAAAGGCATACATTTTAAATGAACAGAAAAAAAACTGGTTATTCCTGTAATGTAACTGATCGTTTGCATTTAATAGTTTTCTTGCAAAAACGAGCCGCCAATTGTTTTTGTTTTGTGCTGTAGCCTATGGTTACCATGTATGGAAAAGATTAGCTCTACCCCTCCCACATGCAGGGAAGCATCAATGAAGCGAATGCCCTCCTCCCATCTGTCTCAACTCTTAATTCATCCCACTCCACATCTGCACATGACAGGACTGTGTTAGTGCGTTCGCCACACGTGCAAAAAATGCCCTCAAAGCATTGGTTGGCCTGATACTGGGCTTCTGAAAACCCTTTCTCTCTTTTCCCTCACACAATCGCACAGTATTGTGAGATAATCACATAACTGAGGTGTTAGTAAAAGACGCACTGTCAGCAACCCTGAGCGTTATGAGCACCTTTTGAAGGGTTTTTCTTTGAAATGTTTGAGATACATTCTACAGATGGTCATAATAGACAGTTTTATCTCCTCAGAGTATTTCAATGAATAAGAAGGAAAAGGTGAACCTCACCTTAACCAGTTCATTTCTTCTTTTTTTTTTACTTTTAATCTACAAAAAAGGCGGAATAGACTGTAATTTGGTGCTCGTTTGGTGAAAATGTATTTAGTCACTGGCTGACCTTATTGTCACACATCATTTCTTTTTTCTTATCACTTTTCATCAAAGATACAGACTCCTCAGTTCCTTATGACAGAAGGTTTGAGGACCGTTTCAACACCCACGCTTGCTGCAGGAGACTTCAACCGGAGCAGTAATCATGTGGGCATGTGGGACCGGAGGCGCTGTCTGCACATGTGTGTGTCTCTGTGTGTGTCTGCAGTTCCTGAAACCCCGGTGAACGTGCGGAGGCTGTCTGTTGAGGACATATGCTAAAATGGTGGTGTTGTGTCATCGGTTAATGGCTCAGAGGGCTTGTGTGTAAATATGAGCGGAGCTGGCTAGATTTCTCATTCAGTATTAATCCAGATGCCCTGCACATCTGTGTATCCCCCCTCCCCGCTCACGTGGGCACACAGATGAGCTGCACGGCTGGATTCCCACTTCAAGCACTACTAACTGTTTCCCTTTCCCTATCAGTCCCCCTAATTCTCTTTAATCACCATTCTCCTGCCTCATTAAACACATAGGAAAGGATCCATGAAACTCATGTGCTAATCTAACGTAAGCAACCAATGTTTTTTTTCTGGTCGGGTATTTTTTATAGAAATGATAAACTGAAATTTGAGGAAGAGAGCAGTTTCAGGGGTGTTTCCAGTCTGATAGATTTATCATGATTTTCATGAGAAAAATAATAACCGAAAAATAATAACCGTTACGATAGATGGTGGGGATCCGTATGAGCAGGATTTGCTCCCTTTTGTGTTTCAGCTATTTTTTAAGCTGTTATTTAATTTGAGAATTACATTTTTGCAGGTGTTATAGAATTTATAAGAATTAAAATGTTGAAAAGGTTTACAGTTACAGTCAAAGCAGTTACTGGGCAGTAATATTACATGAGAGCATGTCATGTGCAGAGTAATAAGATAAAAATAGAAAACTTGTTTTTAAAATGTCTCAGAGATTAATATTCAAGCAGCCAAGAGATGTCCATCCATCCATCCATCCATTACTACCGACGCTACACTGATCCACCTGTAGAGCTCCTGCTCCATATTATCCCCATTCGCGAACGAGACCCAGAGATAATTGAACTCCTGTAGTTGGGGATGGACATCCCCCCTGACATGGAGGAGGCCCTCTACCCTTTTACGGTGAGAGACCATGGTCTCGGATTTGGAGGCACTGATCCTCAGCCCAGCCGCTTCACACTCGGCTGTGAATCGCTCCAGTAAGAGCTGTAGATCAAGACCTGATGAAGACAACAGGACCACATCAACTGCGAAAAGCAGAGATGCGATCCCAAGACCACCAAGATGGACACCATCAACACCTTTGAACAGAACAGAATCGGAGACAAAGGGCAACCTTAGTGGAGTCCATTTCTCACCGGAAACGGGTCCGACTTACTACCGGCGATGAGGCCCACCTCTGACTCTGGTTGTACAGAGACCTAACAGCCAATAACTAAGGGCCTGGTATCCCATACTCCCAGAGCACCCCCACAGGATTTCCAGAGGGAAACCGTCCAACGCCTTCTCCAAGTCCACATAACACATTTGGACCGGTTGGGCGAACTCCCATGCACCCTCCAGGACCCTGCTGAAGGTATGGAGCTGCCAGAAAGGCCCGATACAACTCCTTCTTAAGCATGATGACATCTTTCAACTCCAAAAAAAGAAGAGTGTCCATCCCCTCTCAAGAGGACTGGTTCCAGAGCCAGAGCTGTGCGTCGAGGCGAGACCGAATCTCTCTGCCTCGCAGACCAAATCAGGCTCCTTCCCCACCCCAGAGGTGACATTCTACGTCCCAAGAGTCAGCTTCTGCAGCCAGGGATCGGTCCGCCGAGGTCCCCGTCTCCGGCCACCACTACTACTATCATATCCCCCCGACCCCTTTGGCCCCTGGGTGGTGAGCCCATCGGAAGGGGTACCCATGTGACCTTTCCATGGGTGAAAACCCGGCCAACAGGCACTCGCCAACATGCCCCACCTCCAGGCCTGGCACCCACAGTTGTTTGACAGTCAAAACAGAGGGATGCAAAAGTAGCTGCTAATTATTCAAAAGACCACCAGGACCCAAATTCAACATGCATGTTTCTGTTTTTTATATGGTACAAAATGATAGAAATGTGACAAAAAAGTGCATATTAACAATAAAAGATGTACAATATGAAAATTTTTAAAGATGGTCAAACTAAAGTCGTGTCACAGAAAAGGTGAAATTGTGAGATGGTGACATTTTTCACTACCCCTCATTTTTTAAAATGGGAGCAATTAGACGATGGGATGTAATTCTTCAGATTTCTGTAACTGAATATTTTCTTTTTCACATCTAGAATTGAAAAATAGGTTAAATCAGCATAACTTGCTTTAACTGAAAATGAAAATGAAAATTAGTTAGACAAAACAGTCCATTTTGTATAGTTTTACTTTTTTTCTCTCTCAGTTTCAGTTCACGAAAAATGTTGGCAGGTTACAATTTAAAGTAAAGTAAAGTGCTGGTATGTAAGTTTTTGGAGCCATAAAAAGTTCTTTTTAAAATTTAGAAGCAAGGTTGACAGTAATGCAGAACATATTTGTCACATTTCTTTAAGGAGAGAACCAGGGACACTTGTACTCTTCAACTCAGGACATAGCTTTGCCACTTTTCAGCCTTATTCGGTCACGCTGGTCAGCTGTGGACCGACATAGCTGTTACACATTCTGATTTGAGACTGTGTTCATTGTATCTAGGTTGTGAGAAAACCCTGTGACTTGATATCATAGAAAGACAGACAAATGTCTGTGTTGGTTTGGCAAATCCTGGACTTTTAAAATGCATTTGAATTCATCAGTCATAAACCGTACACAGTCAAACTTCATTAGACAGGAGAAAAAACACCCAGATTATTTGGTCGGGGAAAGAATAAAAAATGTATGCACTCAACTGGATTCAACTGGTTCGTCCTGGGAATCTATGTCTGATGGGACAAGGACAGTGATCTAAAAACATTGTCAAATTCTACTCTTACCTTGACTCAACGTTTCATGTAGCTCTGTATCTCTCACAGTTCAAGTCTCAATAGTTGAAATAGTCAGCTTTTAAATTAGTACATTTCTGCTCAGAGGCCATTTTTTTTAATCATCTGTCAGTGTTTACAGTATCTTGAATGGTTAGACAGCCCACTAAAATGGAGAAATATCAGTGTCTTAATAAAAGTGCTGAAGATTTTTGTTTGTTTTTAACTAAAAAAGATTCCAGTTAGAGTGCATTATTAAATGGTGAGATGAATTTCCTATCTCACTGAGTAGAGTTTTGTTTTGTTTTTCTTAGTTTTGTAACTTCCTCTAAATCTAACAGTGAACATTTCTTTTGCTGTAGCACAGATAATATTTGAGCAGCAGCCCCCGTTAAAAACGAGTTGCACAATGTTACAAAAATCTGGGAGTCTCATGTAATGTGATGATCCCCATGAAGGTCCCCGTAAACCTGTCACGGTGCAGGAAACCGTTGTGGAGAAAAGACCCTCCTGTTGTGGTGATTTCAGAAAAGACTTCGCTGAGAAAGCCACTGAACTTCGTGGAAATGTTCCGCTATGACTTTAAATCAGATTAAACTCCTCCCTCCGGAGTCGCTTTTCTGTCAACTAAATAAAAGGCTCCCGTGCATCGGAATGGTAAACCGCGAACGTGCGTGCGGGTCCCTGACGCGATGTGGAGCCGTTTGAGTTGACGTCCGAACCCCACCATCCCAGTCCGAGCCCGGACAGGTCAGCAGCGAAGCCCCGGACAGGTCAGCAGTGAAGCCCCGGACAGGTCCCGCTCACTGACTGATGGAAAGAGACAGGAGGAAAAAGGGCAAATCTCTTCGCTCGAGCAGAGTCGCCATGCGCTGGCGGGGCAACGTTTAACTCTTCGTCCCGGGCTCGGCTGAAATGTGCTTTATGGTCGCTTGAAAGGACTTCGCGTTTGCGCTTGTATGTAGCGTGGTATGAGTACGATATGTCTGACCAGAGGCCGAGCAAAAGTGTGGAATGGCTGCAACTCGAGTTAGAGTCCGGGGGCACTTCTGTGCTCCTGCTGGACTGCCGTTCACACGAGCTTTATGAATCATCCCACATAGAGACCGCCATACATCTGGGCATGACGGGGCTGATGCTCCGGAGGTTCAAAAAGGGCAACATACCTATACAGACTATCATTTCCAAAAACGAAGACAAGGAGAAGTTTTTGAGACGATTTAAGACGGACACGGTCGTGCTGTACGATGAGTGCACCGCGGGCTGGCCGGACTGTGGAGCCCCGGCGTCGGTTTTGTTTCTACTTCTTCAGAAACTATGGGAAGACGGCTGTACAGCGTACTTTCTGGAAGGTAACTTGATTTTTTTCCATTAAAGAATAAAATAAAACGGAATATACCAAAGCTGTATTTGGAAGATGAATTGTATTTAGTGTACAACATTCTTATAAATGTCCATTAATATTCGCATTGACACGGTCCACGTCATTGGCGCATGGATACCACATTTGTCTTCATAAAAGAGCTGTAAATAAAGTTTATGAGTGCTACGGTAGCTGAAGGTTGAAAACAATTTCCCCCGGGACTACTTTTTACATTTACAAATGTCAAAGTTTGGAAGTTAAATGAAAAGCCTGTTTATATATTGATCGTAATTTAGCTGTGATGTTTTACTTGTACGCTCAAGTTAATTCTACGTCGTAGGATTGCGGTGTGAAGGCTCGTCAAAAAGTTTGTTTCACTACTGAGATTCTCAATTAAAATTCCAAAATGGCTGCGGCATGTTTTGCTCTAGCAGGAACAGACATGCATTTCATGAATGGTCTGGTTGTGTGTGTGTATGTGTGTTGGGAGGGATTATACCGTTCAGTTTCAATGTTTGCCATGTTTTAGCTGTTTCAATACTATTAAATGAAACCATACTGTATATATTTGTGTCACCTCCTTTAAAATGATATTGTAGAGTTTATATATGATTTGATGATGGAATTGTGTTTTTTTTTTCTTTTGTGGCTCATATCCAGGTGGTTTTGTAAAGTTCCACACAGAGTACCCCGAGCACTGTGAAACCCTCCTGGACAGCTCCTGTCCCAGCTCCTCGCCTCCCATGTCCGTCCTGGCTTTTGGAAATCTCCGGATCAGCTCAGACTGCTCCGATGGGGAGTCTGATCGAGAGCCAAGCAGTGCCACCGAGTCTGAGGAGAGCCCCGTCCCAAGCTATCAGCCGGACTTCCCCGTTCAAATCATACCTTACCTTTACCTAGGCTGTGCCAAAGACTCCACCAACCTAGATGTGCTAGGACAGTACAACATCACCTACATCCTGAACGTCACGCCCAATCTTCCCAACATGTTCGAGCATGACGGCCACTTCAGGTACAAACAGATCCCCATTTCGGACCACTGGAGCCAGAACCTGTCCCAGTTCTTCCCAGAGGCAATATCATTTATTGGTAAGTGAATCAACATCTGGCCCTCGTGTATGCTTTTCCCACACAAATTTTATTGTGAATTACAACTTTATAAATCCAAGTGGAATGTGCTGTGTTTATTATGTTTTTGAAGGTAAAGCGTGAGTTCCAAGACTGATGAATCAGTTTTAGTGATCATTTAAATGTCAGGAGTGACACAGCAGTTTACCAAAATTGGATGGATTTTTCACAACTTGGAAACATTGAAAAGGAAAGCGACGATTAAGTGCCATTGTTTGGCAGCATCACAATGTCATGTCTTAGTTTTGCTTTTGACTGGTGTTTCTCACCATGACTGCGTCTGAAACCACAGCCGTACACTTGTTTGTTTGGTGGTTGCCTGGGTGTGTGAAACAAACTAGTTTTCTATCAGGTTCAGAGGTGGTTTAAGGAAGGAAATGTTGTTTCCACGGGTTGGAGTTGTGTTTAATTGTTGTTTGATGTGCTGATAACGCCGAAAAAATTATTGCAAGCAATTTGAATTTGAGTCTTTTAGACTTTTATTTATTTATTCATTCACTCTTTTCATACAGATGAGGCTCGATCGAAGCAGTGCGGGATCCTGGTCCACTGCCTGGCCGGCATCAGCCGCTCAGTCACCGTCACGGTGGCCTACCTGATGCAGAGGCTCAACCTCTCTCTAAATGATGCGTATGACTTTGTCAAGAGGAAGAAATCCAACATTTCACCTAACTTCAACTTCATGGGTCAGCTGTTGGACTTTGAGAGGACACTGGAGCGGCACACCTCCTGCGATAACCGCTCCACCAGCGAGCAGCCGCTCTGCTTCACCACACCAACCAATCACAATGTTTTTCAGCTCGAGTCCACGTAAGGAGCAATAAGACAGCCTTTTTTATTTTTATTTTTTCAATTCTGCGTATGTTTCCTGTGGTGTCGCTTAGGTTTCCTGAACCTGTCGGATGCCCAAGTTGCTGACACGAACAGTAATTCAGCCACAGTGTTCTGCACTATAAGGAACTACACTGATCTTTTAAAGGAACAGCACCCGTATGCAGAATAAAAAGCTCCAGTCTCAATGCCTTAATATCCTAACACAAGGAATAATTTTACTCTCCTCCACACTTTAGTTAATGATCATGTACTGCCACGGCAGCAGGATTTTCAAAGCTTCGATTACATCTGGGACTGGTATATGACTGTTATTTGTTATTCACCAGCTGTAAAATGGATGTTTATTTCTTTTCTTTATCAGTTCTGAATATTGCCTTGATGGTCTTTGGCCAGTCAGAGTGTTTTCTTAGGACCAATTTGAGATGTTTTGTTACTCTAGCCGAGGGAAATAAGCTACTGTGCTCAACCAACCTTGAATTATTGTCTCAGTTGTCTTCCTGGTGGCTTTTGCTGTCACCACAGACTAGAGAGGTTTTTTGTTTGTTTGTTTTTTTCATGTGCTTTTACACAGAATACCCTCACTAATATCTGGGAAACATTAATAGTCTTTAAATCCAAGCTTGAGTGAGCAATGCTGTGTATGTATTTAAACTGTGATATTTTCTACTAAATATCAAAGTTATATTATATCCATTTGCATCACCCCACCGGAGTATTGTATCGCTTATAACTGCATTATTTACATGAGATTATTTTCCACAACAGACCCTGTTTTGTAACCTTTGTGTCATTGCCTGGTGTTGCCGAGGCCTTGGCCGTTCCTTAATACAAAAACTGTCAGTAAATGTCAGTAACCGTGTGGAAGTGAAATGTCACAGGACTGGCTATTCCCACAGCTGAAAGGTGTGTACAAATGGATGTCCACCTTCTTTTTTTACTCTGACACTCTTCAGCCTGCAGCTACTCCTCCTGTGGCCTCTGTCCCAGGAGACATGGTGTGTAATTAGCTGTCCTCTATTGCCAGTCTCATCTCAGAACAAGTGAATAACTTGGACGTGTGAGAGGAAGTGGAAGGAAGTGAGTGTGATGCGTGTGTTCTTACCTCAACACAAGACATTTTCAGGGATTGTTTTTTTTCTTCACAAGGCATCTGTAAGTCATCTTGGCCTCCTAAAGTGCACCCAAGGGCTGTTTTGTTTGGTATGTTTGTAAAGATGTGCATTAATTGTGGTTACACGGGGGACATATTCTGTAAATCATGAAGGATATGGAAGTGACCCTATTTGGACCCTAAGTATAGCATATATAAAGCTAAAGTCCATTGCATTCTTTTCAAATTTATACTTCAAATATATTGTATATTTTTACTTGAGCTTGGTTTGTTTTGTCTTTATTTACAGATTTAAAAAACAAAAATTTTTCTTCACCACGCTGTCAGGCCGCAGTGCTCTAGGTGTGGTCAGAGGTCTGTTTTCTATCCGATCTGATGCACGACATCCTGTCTCCCACGGGCTCTCTGACAAAAAGACAAGTGACAAGGCCAGATCTGTCAATACCACAGTGCAGACACACCCTGTAGCAGTCACTCAAACAGCACTCAAAGGAAGAGGAAGATGACACAGCATTTGTTTTACCACAAGACTTCCTACAGCTCTCTGCAAAGCCGAGGAGCCCGAGCACAGTTTGAATTGGTGTTGGTCAATAGCTTAGTGAGGGATTTAATTCTGTTTATTAAACATTGTTCTGTCGGAAAGCTCCCCAGCACCTTCATAATCCAGGCTGCTATCTAAAAGTCATTCGCATGACTTATGTGCTATAATTTCGAAGTTTTCATAAAGCCATTTAAGATGCTGACACCCACGTTTTGTTCTATGCAGCAATCAGCCATAACATTACGACATTATGACAAGTAATGTGCGCAGCACTTCTCATTTTCATCATGTGACACCGGGCCTTGGCTGGCCAGAGTTGTTTTGGCAAGGTGAGGGGAGCTCCCTCACTGGCGGTGATGAATGAATATTCACACAATCTAGAAAACTGGTTTATAAAGGTTTATTTGAGGCACATTAAAGAATTCACAGACTCACCATTGTCCAAAAAAAGGTAGACATGTGATTGTAGTTAATGACCAAAAATCAACACATAGGCTGAAAAAAAAACTTCTGGGCTATTTCTATGGCAACATCTGCCGCTCTAGATTGTGTCATGCCTGCGTTTTGTATTATGTAAAAATGGACTAAAATGACCACATTTTCAGGGCTCTACAAACGTGATATTCTCACATCATGTTTGACAAAGTGTAACATGTATATGTTTTTTTTTTTCTGTATGTGATAGTTAAAAATGTAATGTTGCAAAACTATTACATATTTATGAGGAGTTGAGAGGGGTCGTACAATCTAGCCCACGGGCTGTCACAGACTAGGTCCAAGTTGAAATCCCGCCATCCCAATATTTTTTTTAGAGGTATTCATCAGTCACTGTCAAGCATAAAAATATACGGTTTATTTTAGAGTTAACTGATATATGGTGGAATGAGGTAAAAGTTATTATCTCAGGATTCCGTGGGCTTTATTACAACACTGCTGTGTTTTGGAAGTGTGAATGAATATAGTGCAGCAGTTACAACATCACGCTTGAGGCTGGTTGGGCCAAAAGAATGTTGTATCCCTCAACAAGAAATTACAGAGAAAAGGTTGCAGACAAGTTTGTGTGGGTCTGCGTGTGTGTTCTCCGACTTAACGTTTCTGACCAGGCCCTTAATGCTGTTTCCTGTCTGTCAGATATATGGATTTGCACTCTGTCAAATGACAGAAAAATGCAGGGAATCCTGAAAAAAATTTGTTGAAAAAGCAAGGGGCCGATGGTTTTCAAAATTTAATAGCGTAATAACTGTCACGCAGCTGGATGTCTTAAACATTCCACTATTTTTTTCCAGTTCCAGCTTTGGGGGTAGGAGGACTGAGAACAGAGCAGCAGGCTAAAAGTGAAACCTTCAACCTTTAAAGTGGCGTGAAGGGACTTGTCTGGTAACACCTCACTGTTGGGATGAAAAAAAAGCAGTTGAATGATGGGTTTTCCAACATGACTGAACCTGGCAAGCAACATACCTGATAGGCAAAGCTATGATTAGATCTAAAATACACCCACAATGAGGCAACAGGTAGCTGCAGTGTCTGGCCCTGATGTGGTGAGTCATTAATCATAGATGTCTTATCTGTTACTGAGACCGTACATCAACAGCAAAATGCTAGCGCTGTACTTTAGCAGAGATTCACCATTTGTACATTTAGGCAGCTTTAAATACCAGTTCTCAATTGGCGTCACATTCTAAAGTTTCAGAGCATTTATCTTCCGGTTTAATGAAATGAGTTACCTGTGTTGCATCGCGTGTTCAGTTCCTTTTGCTACCAGATAAGTCATGCTGAAGTGCTCTCACCTTTGGGTTAAAACCAGCCTCTTGAATACTATAATTACAGATCATTTTGTGTTCTTCTGCCTGTGTCAAAAATATGTGTGCGGCCCCATCAGGCCCCATGCTTTCTCCTGTTGCTGAAATAAAATCTGAAGAACAGTCACATCCACTTTTGCAAACAAAACACAAAACTCACTCTTGATTGAGAAGAGTGACAATCCCAAGAAAACACAATAGAATACACATGTAAATGTATATAAATATAAATATTCCCAAAACACCATATGTGTGATACATATGGCAAGTGGTGCATTTCTTCCACCCTGTTGTGATCACACATGAAGGGAAGCAGAGGCTAAAGCAATGCTTACTCAGCAGTCAGAGCTAGGAAAGCAGATGTGCTTGAGATGGAGCTGGATTTTAGCTCGTGGGGGTGGGGGTGCTTGTTTGTGAGCCTGCTTACGGTATATTTGTGTGTGTGGGGTTGAGGCTACGCAGAAGTCAGCCAGAGCTGGTTCACACCTGCTGTGGTTATTTTAACATACTTAGCATACTGCATGACTGACAGTCATTTCACAGCTGCTTCTGCTTCTGATGCCCAATAACAGAAAGGGCAGGGCTTGATTTTTCTCCTGATTATTTTGAGTCTTTCTATGAGCACCAGTGCACTTCGGTGTTCCCGTAAAACCATCTTTTTCAACACGCCAGTGTTTGTGTTAGTCGCTAACTGTTCAGTTGAGCTGCTGTAAAATGAATTCTCCAGAGAATAGCGGCTGTCTTTCCTACAGGGACTCCAGCACCCGGTGGTCTCGCGCTGTTTGTGCACAGCAGATGTTCAGGGCCGCAGAGAATAATCCTAATCTCAGTGTTCGGCTGAATGCAGATATCATGACTCCTAGGAGGGGATGACATCATCGTTGATGTGTCCTCTTAGCCATGCTGTCTGTATTTATGAGGCTGCATCTTTTGAGCGTTTACAGCTACACACAAGCCCATTTTCTGCATGTTTATTTATTGTTTTGTTGTAAGAACAGATTGTAGATTTTTTCATTTTCTCCTAAGTACCTTCTCCATGGGTGAATGTAAACAGAAATGGCCTTTAGTTATGCTATCATGGTGCCATGTGTGACTGAATTGGAATGGTATGTGTTATCATGCCAGGGATTTCATCTCCTGTTATATGGGGATTGCCAGTTGATTCTCGGAACTCTTGAAACACATTTGCAAGCATTTCCGTCATACTTCCCCAAATATGTAAGGAAATAAGTCCCGGCAGAATTTAAGACTGGCTTTCATAGACGCAGAGGAAGGATTTAATCAGAAGTTTAGCTTAGTTCCACTGTGTGGTTTGTTACTACCCTGTGAAAATGAACAACATTACCACGAGCTGTTTTTATAGATAATACTTTAAATCTCACGCTCTGGTAATCTTATTTGCAGCACTGTGACCATGACACTCAAGCCATTCAACAGGAAGTATCGTCTAACTTCTGGAACTTACTACAGATATCCTATCTGCTCGGAGCAGACCTTTTCTGACACTTCAATCTTCTGTGAAAGTCTTGTTCACCAAAGCAGAGGAGAAGTGTGAGTTTTGACAACAAGAGTACTGGGTCATGTGTACAGCAGAGCCACATGGAATCCTCGTGGCAAACCCAGGCGGCCATCTGTTATCACCAGAAGTCTCTCATTTTGTGGCCAACTTCACCATCCGGTGATGTACAGTGGCCTCCTCTCACCCAGCCCGAGAATAAAGTGACGATTGTTGCTGTTTAATCTGTGGCAAAGTGAACGAAAAGGAATGTTCCTTGTGTCCTGCTACACCCAACATAAAATAAAGTTCATCTGTCTGTCATGTGTTCTCACTCAGAAACCACAGCGGAGGCCTTGCTAGGAACCGTCTTGCGGTCTGGTATGTCATTCACAAAAGGCCATATGTTGCTTACAATACTAAGCCAAAATGTTTGCTTTGGAATGCACTTCTACATCATAAGTGCCTAAATAATGATGTCAGAGTGCAAAAAAGACGACTCTCTTGAGTCTCGCAATACAAATCTTCTCTGTAGCCGAGGATTCGGCTCGACATTTTGGACGGCCACAAACAATATTTTCAGAAACGTACACGTCAAAAAGGCACTACTACATACAGATACTACAATGGAGAAACAGTTATTCTCAGCCAGACAAAGTTGTTTTTTTCTCTGCTCTCGATTAGTCTCTTTTTTTCAGTGCACTTTATTGCCCATGAAAAAGCCCAGCCGGGGCACACCTTAGAACCCCAAAAAGCAGATGGGTTCTTTTAAATGGAGGATCTTAACTTAATCAAATACTAATCAACAGTATAAACACAGCTGCAATTGTTGGCTAAAATCAAAAGTCACTTTATGGAATTGACATGGTTATTTTAGGTAGAACAAGGTATCGTTTCATCAGTTTAATCAGTTTTATCAGTCACAACAAGGAAAATGGGCTTATATGAAAGATAAACCAATCGTACCTTATAATCTAACCTCTTATATGTTCCATTGTAATGTTGTGTATACTGAAGAAATTAGTGAGTATTTCTTCCAGTATTTATGATGAATAGCTAACAAGTTCCCTTTTAATAGTGGTAAAAATAGATAAAGCATCAAGTGGTGCATTAAAACAAAACAATTGCTTTCATTCATGTGAATTGTTGAATAATTTCTGTGGAATTTGAGAATTCTGTGTCTCGTAGTCTTGCTGTTCTATGGGCCATTATGGCGGGCCAGTCCAGACACAGTACTTCAGTGTTCTCAGCACCAGAAGTGGGATGGTTCGTCATGATACAATATTCTGTCTGTTCCAGTTTGATCTGCAGTGCTTCCACTCTCTCTTTGTCTAAAGTGTTCTACTTCCTCTTTGTGTATTTATGGCAACAAAAACAACCAACTATATGCAGTTTTATTCCACAGAATCATCTAAGGTTGTTATATTTATGCAGAGTATTTATTCAAATGAGAAGCAAAAAAGGGCCCATGTTCATAGTTGGTGATAAAATCAGCTTATCATGGTTAGAAGCAGAGTTATTAATGGCACAGAGCAGGAAACAAACAATAAGAAAATATATCATCTGTGGATCCAGAGGTTTTAAGAACATTTTGTTCTGTGCCTTTGAGAATGGTGAGCTCCTTGAAAATTTTCCAGACTAATCTGTAATATTTAGCATTGGACAACTTCCAAGACCATGTGATGTAGAAAAGCAAGAAAAACAGGAATCCTCTAAACCCAAAAGCCTTCTGGCTTCAAATGTGCTCTGCATGTGTGGGCGTCTGAGAGATGGTTTGAGTAGTTAATGTCGTCCAAAGTCTAAATTGTGTGTGGGGTATTTCTCACTCTTCCGGGGATTTTACTCATCTGTAAATCACTCTGAGCTGGGAAAAAGGTTATGAATACATCATACTGCTGGCACAGCTTAGTAACACAGTTTAAAGATGGTTTCATGGTGGTTTATGAGTTTTATTTGATGTTATGGTTGGAATAGATGATTTATCAATCAATATGTTGGAGGGATTACTATTATGAGCCATGTGTCTGCCTCATTCCCATTTAGACAGTGGAATGAATCATTTTTCTACACTGGCTGAATAAAACTGAATGAAATTAATGTGTTGGTGTAACCTTTGCTGATCCTGTCTTTCCTGGTTACTGGCAGGGTTACAGGAAGTCGGAAAGCTTCACACAAATGCGCCTGAAATCCACAATAGCGAAGGTGGCTTATAACCGCAGTGTGTGTTAATAACAGCAGGCATGAGTCATCCAGCCTGTCTTACGTAACTGCATCACTTCTCCACCCAACTTGCTGTTCACACACCACACCCCAGATTCATTCACTTTCTGCTCTGCTGCTGCCCAGCCTCTCATTGATGGCGGCGAGAGCACTACTCATCCTGTTCCACCCTGCCTTTGCCAGTTTACAGCTTATATGAAGCTTAGCCTGCAGAGCAGTCTAATCTGAGTGATAAAAACAAGCACCCTTATTTCACTGAGAAACTCTTTAGCTCGTATCATCATTTAGTTTCACTGCATCACCTTTCTTGTCTTTTTTAAATCTTATTTATATCTTTGAGTGAGGCTGTACAAGAGCTAATTGTAGTTTGTGTGGTTGAAGCATACAGTGGCAGACTTTGTTTGTGAGACTGTTGCAAAGCAGTTGTGTTTCATCGCAGGTTTGGATTTTTAATCCCACGAGTCCTTACTCTACAGTAGCTGCAGGATGGAGCTGCTAAAACCCCAGAGAACCAGTAAGAGACGGAGGGAGGTAGGAGGGCCTTCAGATGCTGTCATCAGTCAGGCCACCGACGTCACCGCTTCAAACAAAAAACCATCCATCCCATTTCCCATTCCAAATTAAAGAAAGATCACTTTCATATGTCAGAAATTTTATAAAATAAAAATACTGAAATATTGTTGCAATTATGTAAAAAATGTTGATTTATTAAATGGCACAATGAATAAAAACCTGTAGTCTCCCTGTCAGCTCTATTTCTAAATGCATTAGATTAATATATGTGCTAAATCCAGATCGCTGAGTGTTATCTGTTTTTAAAAGTGTGGCTGGACACTAAAGATTACTCTGATTTGAGCCAAACAAACCCATAAGACTGTTGTCCTGCTGACATCAAGTGGACACAACAATAACTGCATGACTCCTGAGAGCACGTTGCTTCCTGGGAAGGAAGTGTTTTCAGTGCGCCAGTTATGTCTAATGCCTCAAATCTGGGTACTTTCTGAGAAATGGTGTGAATGCCCACTTCCATTTTTAGAACAATCTAAAATAAAAGAATGGATTGAATCTGAAAATTGTAAATAACAATTCCTCTTTCTTCTGTAAAAATGTGAAATTAAAACATTTTAATGTTCCATTATTTACATAAATTAACCTTGAATTTGATTGGAGAACAAAACACCTTTAAAAAGGCAGAACACAGTTAATAAAACATTAAGAATTTACACTAAAAATTACTTGCTTGAAGAGCATGTTGCTATTATTTAGGTTAACAGGAAAAAGAAAAGTAATTTCACTAGATGTTAAAAAGAGCACTGTAAATATGTAGAGTTTCTCACTGAAGTCTGCAACAACAACACATAGGTTTTCAGAGTAACATGCAATGTAAAATTCCAAAAAGACAAAAAAACATTTATATTATTGATCTATTATGCGTAATATCAATAAAAATGTAAAGAATCTGTAGATTTCTGTGTGGGAGGGACATAGCCAAAAATATATGTGTCTATCATATCTATGAAATCATACTAAAGGGCTTGAAATCATTCCATGATCTCAGACACCCTTCCAGAAATCACCATGGTCAAAGCTCTATATGTATAAAAGCTTTAAAGCACAACGTTCCAACATTTTATGATTTCGGACTTTAATTGGTTGGCCTTCCAATCGGAATATTTTAGAGGCACGTTTACATCAGCGGTACAGCTACATTAACAATGGAACAGTTATCTCTTTGTAGGCAAAAAACATTCTTTAAATGGGCGCAGGCATCTGCTTGTCAACTGGTGTCAGTGATCCCCTAACATGGGCACTAACATGATTAGACATAAATAGCTCCTGCCTCAATACACTTTGTAACTGGATACAGTCGTGTGAATAGTCCACATACTGTAGACAAGAGTCACTACAGAATGCAAATTACACCAGTAAATCAAAATCATCACCAAGCAGCTCAGGAGCAATTGCAAGTGTTTTATCTTAGAGAAAACGGTCTTATTACAGGCCTCCTTTGTGTTTTTATTCTCTCCTTGCACAACAGGACAGAGATGGATCTGTTTACACAGAAAAGTGGAGCAAATTGAGAAAAAATATTGGTATACTTATCAATTGTTCTGCAACCAAACACAATATCACTGCAGAACATGGTAAGTTATTTTAATAGGAATAAGCTATGTCTGATTGTGATTAATAGTTAATATTGTAATAAAGATTTCAGGGAAAATAACTTCAAAGACAAATGCCTTGTGTTTATTTCATGAACAAACACTTCGAGTATAAATTTCATGAAGGACCATTCCATGGACATGACATGGAAAGAAAAGCATACAATCTCCACATTATACCAGGCATGCGGCCCTGAAGTCGTTGAAACTGTGTTGACTTATTTGTGTGTTCTCCTTTGTTGACATTTTCTGCCCAGGTAAACAGCGCCACCATCTCAGGGAGAAGATTTCTATACTGACAATGGCAAGAGATGAGACTCATTCAAAAACAAACACAGAGTTCAAGCGAGTGGCAGCAAAGTGGGACATTCTGTAAATGCAATTTGGACAAATTTACACTCAAGAACTCAGTACACAAGGGCATTAAAGTTGGTCAAAAACTGTATTTACAATGATGATAGAAAACGGAAAAAAAGAATGTAGAACTTGACTAATTCTCATAAAGTCATGAAGTTGTTTTCATTTGTTGCTTGTAGATCAGCTCACAGTTGTTCATTGATCACCACTGTGTCACAGAGACATACAAAAATAACACCCTGGCACATCAGGATTACTCCACTCCTTTCATAAATTCCAAGAATTCTGTAAGAGATAAGAAGGTGTGGGTAAATAGTCAAGCCTCAAGTCAACTGTAAAACCAAAGTTCTTAAACAGAAGAGGAGAGTGTAGGAACTTTTGTGGCCAAAAAATATTTTCACTAATCTTGCATGTTCCTAATCAGGTTAAACTCCTCACCATCATAATCAATTCTGCCATCATTATTCTTGTCACCATCTTTCATCAGTTCCTCGATGTCGTCCTCGGTGATCGCCTCGCCTGTAGATTCCAGCATGGTTTTCAGCTCATCCAGATCTATGTAACCATCAGCGTTTCTGAACAATCAGAGGGAGAGAAAAAAAAAACATCTTTAGCAAGCAGAGAATTTTGAGTAAATTTACAAAGAGGTGTGTGGTATGTCTGTGGTTGTACGTGGTGTGTTCAAGATCACATGTGAAGTCTAAGTGTCTGGGAACATCCCTGTAGGGAAGAAGAAGGCAAGATTGCTCTTTGATGTGCATAGGAGGTGTGTGACTTACATGGTCGTGGGTGTTGGAAATACTCTGAACTGTCAGAAAGGATTAAGGAGGCAACTGCATGCTCCACTCTGCAGAGCTACTTGCCATTTTGTCAGAACACATAATTGCACATGGGGAGCGTACTTTGCCAGAGTCACACTGAGGAGAAATTTCATAACAAGATTTGGGTAGCTTTCACATGGTAGCATTCATTTAACTGAGATATTTTGACTCGTCTGTCAGTTGGTTTTTACTGCAGATTATGTAAGATTTTGCCAGTTAGTGCTTTGTTATGCATTGTCCGGATAAAGAGGCCACTGCGAGCCTGAATTTCATATAGCATAAATGGATGGATCGCTGTATGGATCGATGGACAGATCATGGGATGAAAATTCAACATCAAACCTACTTGTCGAACATCCGAAACAGCTCTGCCAGTTCTTCCTCTGTCTTCCCTTTGCTGTCGTCCTTCATGCATCTCACCATCATGACCAAAAACTCATCAAAATCCACCGTGCCGCTCCCTGCAGAGACACACTCCCCGCATTACATTTTTCACTGGAATTTGTTGAATCTAACCAGTTCAGCTTTGTATTAAAGGCCTTATCTGTGCAAACATGTTTCTTAATGCTTTGTCACAAACAAATGTTACTTAAAAGGAATTTTAATTTGCACAAGGAAACCTGTGGTTCATGTTTTCATAAAGTTATATTGTGACCCATTAAAGATCTCTCTCTATAGTTAATCTGACAGCACAATTTCCTGTGTACTCCACTCTGGAGCTTTCTCAAATCCAACTTGGTTTTTATGTTTCATCATTGCATAACGTGGAAAATTCAAGTTGACTCCTGTGTCATATGATACGCATTTCTCTTTAATCCAGCCTGACATCCCGTTGTCTTTAAGATCCTTGGCTGGTATTTGACATTAAGTTCAGAGGGTTTGACTGATGGCTGCCTACACAACACGATGGACCTGTAAGCTGACCCATGGGCATACAGAGGTCAACAGCAACCAGCCATTTGGTTTAGGTTACTGCGACATAAAACGGTGATTTGATTTACCATCTTCATCCACCTCGTCTATCATCTCCTGCAGCTCCTCCGGTGTGGGGTTCTGCCCCAGCATCCTCATCACCTTCCCCAGCTCCTTGGTGCTGATGCAGCCGTCCTCTGCATCTTGCACAAAGATGTCAAAGGCAGCCTTGAACTCTGCAGGTCACAACAGGACACAAAAAGAAAGAAAAAGAAACAAATTCTATCAGTGGAGGAGGTGTTTGCAACATTACCTCAAGTTAAATCTGAAAACACCTTTTTAGGGTGGGTGGATGTTCTGGTAGCAGGCAGAAGAAATGCTAAAATGAACAAATTACGCACCATTTTTCTGTTCATCTGTTAGCTGCTCAACCTGTGAAGGGGGAAAAGATTTACAGTGTAAAAACTTTCAGATTCGCCTTGAAGGCATTTAGTTGAAACATATATGATTATGATTAAAAAAGGATAAAAGTATATTAAAACAAATCCTAAAAGTAAACATTTCTCTCAACTGAACATAACATTTTACGTTTTGGTTAAAAAGTAAAACTAGAAGAAAACTAGAATGAAGAGTCTCTAGGCTCTGATCTGGTCCTGTTGCATTTCTGTGCTGACCCCCCTCGTCCTCCTTGCCGTTACCGGGTATTTTTACTTTCTTCTGCTCCTTTTCCTTTTGCGTGTGATTCTCCTCGATGTCGGCTCTTCCTATCATTGTGAAGCAGAATTCACCAAGCGTTGGATTGTTCACCCACTAATAGGGAACGTGAGCTGGGTTTAGACCGTCGTGAGACAGGTTAGTTTTACCCTACTGATGATGTGTTGTTGCAATAGTAATTTGCAACAACAGTGAGGAGCAAAACCTCGGTTTTGCTCCTCACATATCGAGAGGGGATCTGATTCCAGAGTATTTATTTGTTTTTGCTCAAAAAGTCAGGCCTAGAAATCATGTTCTTAGGTGAGTTTTTGTTTTGGGATTAGGGTAATCTATCTAGAGTTAGAATTTTTAAGTGTTGAAGCAGCCACTCTGATGAATAATCGTACTGGGCCACCACAGACAAAAGACAGAACCTGTACACAATATGTTAGAGCCAGTAAAAGTGGGAGTTTAAAAATAAACACAGGAGGATCAGGAACTGCAGATAAAGGACACAATATGCAGTTCTTCAAATCAGCATAGCTGTGGATCTGGCCCAACAATGGCACAGTAATCCTGGAAAAGCTACCACGAATTAGAGGGGGAGACAGCTGCTTATGTAAAACTTATCGTCTGTCAACCACTATGAAAGAAACACGCACTCCGCTGGTGATGATATATGAAAAAATCCATCCAAACAAACATATGCCAGATACATTCCTACTTGCTGTCTCAGCTGGGCTGTTCACTTGGCGTGTGAATGGACAGGACAGCCGGCTGAATGTCCAGGCAGAGGGGGACAGATAGCCGCACAGCTCTCCGGCTCACAGATAATGCTGGAATTCAGCCATAGGGGGGCTTTATCTAAACCTGAGGCCCTCCTCTGGCACCAGAGAAAAAACAAGCCAAGGAGCGTTGGAGCAACTGGCCAAAATTAGTCATGTGAAGAGGGACCCTTCCATTTGAAGTCATGAACGAAGCAGCGGAGTGCAGACCAGGGATGTGTCCTGTCAGTGACCTCATGAGTGGCTCCTGACAGGTCTGATAGGGTTGAAGACCTGCAGGCGAATATGGTGTTGAGGCTTATTTGACATCAGCCGGTGACGGAGGTGATTTGCTGTGCGGGCCACATCAAGAGCGATTTGTCAGCCATTCAAACAATGTCAGGGAACTTTTTGATGCTTAAGCATCCAAACTTTCAATGTTACAGCCACTCAGATCCAACTGAATAAAACCACCATCTTAGATTCTAAACAACTGAGTGTACTTCTCAGTCCTTCTCATAAATGTTATGGGTAAGAGTGTCAACCAAAGCAAGAGCAATTTTTGTATCGTTTTAAAGAACATCCTTCCAAACCAAATCACTCCACCAGAAGTAACTAACTGTACAACTAAGAGCACATGATTTGAGCCGGAGAGCTTACCGCTGCCTTGTAGATGTCGTTCATGCTGGACGCTTGTCTGCTGCCTGTCTGACAGAGTTCTGGCACAATGCAAGGAGGTCCTGTCCAGCCCAGAGCAGGACTCTGGCCTCATCCTGGGAGGCTTTTATAGCTGGAGCATGGCATTGTCTGGCCCTCCCTAGGCAGAGCAGCCTCCCCTCCTGTCGTGCCTCGAACGTGTGTCCGCAATTGTGTGTAGGTGTGTGCACGTCGTCCAGCCTATCTGTCACAATCATCAGGCTAACATTTAAAAAAAAAAGTGGCAGCTCTCAGGGGGAACACTTTGGAATGGAATGGAATGAAGTTGGGGGCAGGGGAGGGCATGCATGGTAAGGCCTAATCTCCCGGGAGAGAGTCATAGAGACACTCAACATTCCTTTAGACCTGGACCACAGGGCTCATGAGGTTGTGTGTCTGTAAGTGTGTGTATGGACTGATAAAAGAACAAGAGGGAGAGTACCAGGAAAGGAAAGCCATATTCTTCCGCCAGCAAACTATGCACAGAGGCAATAGAAGCTGTAGAGCCAATGTAATCACATTATCCGCAGAAGCATCACCATCTCAGAAGCTATTGTAGTCCGTAGTTACCCAAATGAGAAAAAGAAATCATGATTAAAATCACTAGAAACTTTGAGGTTTCTTCCTAAATCTCAAAGTAAACACAATGGTTAGAAAACCAGAATCCAAGATGTATCTGGTCACTTCTACCCTCATAAACAACACAGTTTTTCCTCTGAAGAGAAAAGACTGTCTGCGGTAGGATTTAGACATGCTTCAGGATTTTACTTTGGCCTTAAGTTAAGATGACAAATCTTCATACGTTCTGTGAGGAAGATGTGATGTGTTTTAGGGGCTCCATATTCATACATAACTGCTTTTTTTCAGCTTCCATGTCTAACATAGAAACCTAGTCAGCAGAGGGTGCTGTTTACTGCATATCAACTACGATAAATTGTCGCACAAGGCTGCCTCCAGATATCCAATTCATCAATAGTGGGGTAGGTAAGAAATCTGGGTCAAACAAACCAAACACTTGCAGACACATTTAATTCAAATCGTCCCCAGTCCAAGGTTCTGCCATTTTTTGGTCTTTTTTTTCTCTCCCTGTTCTTCTTGAAACAAGGCCATCTCAATCACTTCACTGTGATTCACTCACGCATATTCACACACACACATATTCTGTGTAAAAAAGCCTCCATAAACACACATGCACACTCAGAGCATGCTGTGGCAGGCATTCTAAGTGACGAGTGATCATGCTGGTTTATAATGGGATGCTAATGGGAACTGGCACAGCTTACAAGGATCACACAGCCTCTGAGAGGGAGAGAGAGCAGGAGCTCACACCGAATAACATACATGTGCTACTCTCACAGACAAAAACACGGGTCTCCCGACAAAAAGCCCTCATCAGTGCATGTCAGTCACACGCGCAAGTTTGCACTCTCATGGTAGAGAACAGGCAATGAGGTGAAGAGGTGGTGGTGAGGAGCATGTGGCAAAAACCAAACTGAAAAGACAAGGAAATTTGAGTCATTTGTCAAAATGTCACACTGGGGACTCAATGCGCTGCGTTGCGCCTGCTACTGTTGGAATTCGTGGCAGAAATGAATCGTCACCATGTGGCATAGAATCAATCAGCCGGATCTCAAAGCATACTGATGAGTCTACGTGGTCAGCCAGACAAATTCATTTGGAACGCTGAGTGCATTCTGCTCGGTGCCAAGAGTGGCGCGCGGCTCTGCTCCGGGGGCACTGGATTGCAAAAACACAGGGTTCACACGTGCACTCCAACACACACATGACGTCGAGCCCAACGACCGGCGCGCACATCAGAGGAAAGCATATGCCGTTTCATTGGAGCCCTCCGCCAATTTCCTCTTACAGAGGGAAGGCTGACGAAAGAGTCAGCCATCTCCTCCACACAGCGCAATCAGACAGCGCATCTCAAATCCACAATTCACCGCACACCGCTTTTTGAGGGGTTGCCATAGAAACTCTGCTGGGTAGAAGCGGCCAGAAAATGAGAGGAGATGAGCGGGGCTATTTTCCCCCTTTCCACCTTCCTTCTCTGCCTCACTGCCGCCACATTTTGTCCGCAGAGTGCCTATATTTTCCTTTCTTGACTTTCTATATTTGTTTTTGTCCACAATGCAAACACATGTCTCAATTTGGGCTGACTACTCATTTGTGGCGGAACATGTGCCAGTCCACACATGCATTGCACAGAGTGGAATATACTACCAGTTCATTCATATAGGCCTATTTGCATTTAATCTACTCATGTGACATGTTTGGAAGTGTTAGAACAATGCATTCTACGCTTGTGAGTTTTATAAGTAGACGGTTTCCACACAGCAACTCCGTCAGAATCTTTTTACGGAACAAATGATAGATGTTGAGAGAGTAGGTCAGCGTGTGCGAGGCGTGACATTTCATGCTGGCGGTTCTGAATCATGGGCTGCATTTATTAGATTTATTACTATACACAGCACACATCATGCCAATTTATGTACTTAATAATGAAATGATTGGTCGGACGTGTGGCTCAGCCTGAAGCCTGTGCATGCTCTCTTCTCCCCTCTGCGTCCTCGCCACCTTGATGGCTGTGTTCTTTCTTCCCTCCCTCTCCGTCCTTTCTCCCTCCTTTCTTTCATTGATGGCCAACCTGTCAGCAGCTCCTGTTGTGGGAGGCTGCGAATGCTCTGCATGTCACTGCATAATACGCTCTTTTTCTCACTATGACAGCACCTCTGCATGTTCCGCGAGCGTTTTTAAAAAAAAACTTTGGTTTCTCTTAAGTGGCATTGTCTAACCCCGGTTTAGAGCCCAGAGAAAGGAATGTTTTCTCTTTGCTTGACTGGCTCGCTCCTCTCTGGAACTCTGCGCTTGGCGTTACGCGGTGTTCCTTAAATCAGAGCTCTAATGAGCCAGTGGCCATATTAGCTCCAGCGCGTATACGGACACGCACTAACTTTCTGCCAGGGGGCTGCAGCGTTTTCCAGTCCACTGGACCACCAAGTCGCATGCCACCACCCCACCACCACCCACCCAACCTCCTTTTATAATAGCGGATGAGACACCCAGAAAAGATTTCCTTTTTTCCCCCTCCTCAGATCTATGGCACACGAGAGTCCCTTCGTGCACGTGGGGAATTGCATTTGTGCCAGGAGGCACCAACGGAGCAGTCAAGATGATAGAACTGTTCTTTCTCCGGCAAAATGTCGAGTGAGAAATTCGTCAAGAGAAACCAAATCATCCTTATTTTTTTCCTATAGTCTCTGAGTTTAGTAACAACCAGTAGGCTAAGATTATTTCCACACACGGATATTAAAACAATGCTAGGAAAACTCTGTTAGGTTTTATTTGATATGGGGAAAAAGCACTTGATTGATTACCTTCACTTGAACAGCTCAGCAGACTCAGCTTGGAGTTGGACTCACCCTCTCATTTAACATGAACTTGAGAGCACTACATACTTTTTTATGAACTCAGGATCCTTTTATGGTGTTAAGTCGTACCTTAACCATCTAGTCACACTGGAGGTTACAGAAGTAACATTATTCCTAATGTTCAGCAGCATTTTGATGTTTTTGAAGTATCAAAATAAATAAGATAATATATGAATCTGTGAAAATAATAACATGGTTCCAGTTAGACACATTTTTTCACATATTTGTTTTATGCTTACAAAAAATGTGATTATCTGACAGATATGAGATGATAATAGCAAAATTCAAAGACATTTTTTCTGTCTTTGCATTTAGTCCTTTTTTTCTATTAGTCAATTTTGTGTTAATCCTTGCTGTTGTATCTTTGTGTATTTGCCTCATCTAGTTTTCACTTAGACTATTTTATGTAATTTTGTAATCCACTTTGTAAAAAGGTCTGGGAAAGGAATGAACAATCATGGTTTTCTTTATCATTAATACTCATGATCTGCACAAATGAAACTGTCTATAAGAGCTGAGAAACAAAAAACTACATGTTAAAAATATAGAGAAACTGTAGTCTCTAAATGTGCCTGTTTTTTTATTTAGAAATTTTCACTCAAATACGCACACATTTGTCCTTACCCAAACCTTAAACACAATTTAAGGCCTAGCCTAAACCCTAAATTTGAATGTGAAATTGAATGTAGAGTTTCCTTAAACCTGTGGGGACAAAATGGCAGCCCTCACCTTTGCATTAAGTCCGTATAGCTTGTTGTACGGTCAGTTTTTGGTCCCCATCATTCATGACAGCAAAAGCAAGAGCATGCACAAACGCACAAGTGCATGCAATCTGAACGTGTCAGTGTTGCTGCCTTCAACTCTTCACCTCAGATAGCTGCAGCCCTCAGGGTTTCAGACCCTGAGTACGAGTTGATCCCATATAAAATAAAATGTGACGCAGTAACATTATTAGATTTAAAAGTTAGGACAATTGAACTGAGAGAGAGAATGTCAAAACTTTTATTCTTACAAATTGTCACCCATTTTATTGACTGCCAGCATATATTCTTAAGGCTAAAGGAAACTGGATGTGCCCTATTTCTGCAATGAGAAAAGGATTATGTTTTAATATTGAGAATTTCAAGAAGGTACGACTTCTCCTTGACGTGACTGTTCAAATATCTTCACTCATTACTGAGCATGCAATGCAATGGGATATAATAAATCAAATAGTGGAAACTGAAGGCTCCCAAAACTGTAGTTTTGTTACTCAGCACTATAGTTAGCATTGGACTGTTGGATTCTTCTACAAATTTTTAGCAATAAATTCTGAACCGATTAGAGTATGTATGTATGTATGCACAATTGCATTTTTTATATTTCAGAGTAGAACATGTGGCACAATCTAAACAAGAATTTAAAACCTTCTTTTCCCATGATTATCTGACACAAGACTAAATAAAAGCACTGAAACAACACAGATTATTAATTAATTACTCATGCAAAGACAAATAATGGGGGGTGTGGAATCTTTTAGAACCTTGATCCATGTTTCATATGATCTGCACATTTCTTTATTTAAGGGACATACAGATTCTAGAAATGCAACAAAAACAAAAATAAAGATGGAATGAGAGAAAAACAACCCCTATGATTACAACCTTGAAAATTCAATTCTTTTCTTCTTTGAGATACAGATCCACAAGAGCAGTTTTATTTTTTTATAAAGCACTTTAAACTATCTTGGCCGCCTCTGTCTCTCTTAGTATGTTTCATACTTTCCCCCTTTTTACTCCATATGTAAACTATCGCAAATGCACTAACATCTCCGAAAATTCCCCTTTGTTTTTGGGTGCCATAAAAGCTGTAGCAAGCTTTTGGCTAAAAGATGGGGGGGGGACACCTATGCATCATTCTGCTTTGCTGAAGCCGAGCCAAGGGCCTGCTAGGCAGCAGTGAAGTGTGCTGTGATTTGACAAGGCCAGTGACGAGAGTCCCTGTAAATATCTGCCCGTCATGTGACTCACATTATGGCCCGGAGGAACCAACAAAAGGTCAATGCCATCGCCAGCAACTGAATTAAGTGACTTCACCACTTGCACAAGCATTTGTGCCATTTTATATGCTGGATATATTGTAGATGTGGCTGTTCCCTGCTTATGTGCCATTCAGTAACAATCATTCCTTTGAAGCCATAATTATATATTCATGCAGCTGGAGCTGACCTGCCGTCTCTTGATATTTCCGTGCAACAGCACGCACACTAAGAGGTGTCGCAATCATCGGGTACGTCGTCATGCATGTAATGTATGACACTCATATCAGACACACTCGCCATATTCCTCCATGAAGCTTATCATGATTCATATTTCTTATCCTGACGCATTTCAAAAGGTTAAATAGGATCACAGAGTCACCGTGCAAGTTACATTCAGACCATGTGCAATGTCATCAAAAAGTTTCTGTTGTTCTGTTGAAAGTGGTAACATGAAAATATTTTTTTCAGCAAGAAAGAATGCCCTGCTAAATGTCATTGATTACTATTTGGATCACGACAGATGGTCTTGAATGGATTTTTAAAAATAGCCAAATACAATGGAATCTAACTCAGTCTCACAGCAATTTGTGAGACTGTCACAACATAAAAGCTGTTGATTTGTGGTCTCAGAGACTGAAACGTCTAATTTTCTTGTCTTGGCTTCCCTTTTCTTCTCTTATTTTCTTATCTTTAAATGTGCAATAATACCAAACAAATAAAATGCAGGATGGGCTTAATTTAAGAAAACATCAACATTTCCCTCTAATTTACACTTTCAACACCCATGAAAAAAAGATCTAACTATTTTAGTTTCCTGTTTTCCCCTAAAATGTAACATCAGAGGAGACTGTTCATTCAGCCGGGAGGATCAACAGAGCTGAAAAGGGGCCGTGTGAGAAATTAAAGAAAGGAAGAAGGGAAAAGCTGTTGACAATTGTTTAAAAATGTTCAAGCTCTGAACTGCTTCCAGTTGAACGCTGCCGATGGAGCATCTGCCCATGTGTGAAACCACTCATCAAGCTAATTAACTGGACAACTTCAAATCCATTTCCAGTCTGACACTGAGCTGTCTGGAGAATGTGTGGTTTTACATGGTCCAGCTTAGTGTGCCAAGGAGAGATGTGGGAACTCACAGAATAGGTGAAAAATCAGTCAAATCAGATGAATAAGCCCTTAAATTAGTGTGTCTGTGGGACACAGCTAGGAATCAGAATGTGATGCTCCTGATCTCCAGGCCTACAGCACCCACTGACAGCTGGTTCTGTCACTGAAATCATTTCATCTGCACGCTTCCACAATTCACTGTCTGCAAACACAGTTTATTGTGCCATTCACAAATGCAAGTTTCCACAGACATGCTGGCCTCTTTAATGAGCTGACAGTCATTTCAGATCATTTAGAGAAAGAAGAAACCAATCCTGTGGTCAGACTAAACAAAATCTCAAAGTATAATTAAATCCATGGACACTGTGTCCTCCGGACTGACCAGAAGCAGGAGCACCGGACTCTTTATGACCACTCACTTCACAAGTCTGCATCTCTGATGGTAAAGGGGTACATACATGCCTACTGGAGCTGGCATCTTATTCATCAGGAAAAGCACCATCAGTGCTAAAAAGGTAAAAGCAGGTTTTGGAGAAAATTATTCAGAAATGTGGATTTTTTTTTATTTTACAAGCGCTTTGAGAAATTCATGAGGCGTTTATGGACTGTTTGACAATGTTTGACAATGTTAAACCTGACCTTGTCCCAGTTATATTAGACTGGAAATTCTGGTTTTAAATTCAAAGACCCTGCAAATCGTCCTCCTTGATTCTCCTCTGTGCTGTTCTGCCATATCATTGCAAATCCCTGGAAGAGTAAAAAGAAAAGAGAAGGAAACAGTGTGTGGACCTTTCGTACTTTCTCCAGCTCAATGTAATTGTGTTCTACATATTGGAGCTTAAATTCAATAAACCTTTTGTTGTTATCCTCGCCTGGGAAAGTGGATGAACATGCACAGGATGTGAAAGTGGATAGGATGCAGGAAATTATCCCGATAGGTTGCCAGTCATGGACACTGAAACTCACTCCCGCTGTTCATTTAGATTCACTAGTTGACCTAGCTTCTTACGCATTTTTGTACTTTCAGAGGAAACTAAGGTAGTTAGGTAAACACCATGCATACACGGTAGAGCGGCCGAATTCCCCAAAGAATTGCCACAGCTGAGCTTCAAACTGAAAACACACTTACTATGAGATGATCACAGGCAACTCAAACTAAAGCATGGTATTATAGTTTAAAAAA